GTATCGACTGTCGACTGTGCGGCCGTTCGTGGAAGCGTACGGGCAACCGTACTTGGCGACCGGAACGCGAGACGGTAGTCTCGTTCGTATCTCGTGAGCCTGCAATCTCATCCGAAGTCAAGGGTGGCGTGGTCTGCTGATCTGGACGTGAGACTGTCGTCTCGTCCGTAGATGGTGCAGATGGTACGTGCTGTTGGCCGGGACGTGAAAATGAGGTCTCAGGTGTATCTAGCGTGGGACCTGAAGGAGATTTGAGGATCCCGCTAGTAGGTTTGACAGGTCTAGTGTTGACTCTCAGGTTATCAAATAGAGCACTGTTGTCGACGTGTGCTGGTTTGAGACGATCAATGCTGAGATCTTGACGCGGCCGCGTCGATCAACCTTGAAGGTCTTTTCGTGACGAGCGATCACGTGAAAAGGGCCTTCTTAAGGCTGTTGCAAAGGTTTGCGTACCGAATCTACTCGTATGAAAACATGTGGACAGGTAGATAACTCTCGAGGGAGAGCGACCTGTCGATGTTGTATTCGAGTTGACACCGGAGACAGCGTTCGCATAAATGCAGACAGTCGATGGACGTAGTCTGATTTGCCGAAATTAGGTCTGCTCCGTGGTGTGAAGAATTCCCCGAGCAGACGCAATGTCGTGCCGTATACACGTTCAGCGGCGGAACATTGGATATCTGCCTTCAAGCTCGTTCTGATGCCGAGCGGTAAGGTTTCGTACCAATTTTTTCTCGTGTGCTCGAAGAGCACTTTTAAGTTGACGGTAAAACCTTTCAACTAAACCATTTGAAGTTGATTGGTAGGCGGTAGTGCATATGCGTTCTGTACCAAGCAGCCGGGTAAGTGAGGAGAATAGTGTGGACTCAAATTGTTGTCCTCGGTCAGTCGTGACAGTCGAGGGACAACCACACAGAGCTATTTATCGTTCTACGAAGCGGTGAGCAACTGTCCTCGCCGTGACAGTATAGCTTCAGGCCATCTGGTGAAACGGTCAATGCACGTGCGTATGTGATCATACCCATGCGATGGTGGCAGTGGTCCTACAATGTCTAAGTGAACGTGATCGAAGCGAACATCAGGTGTAGCGAATGTACCAAGGGGGCGGCTACGTGCCTGTGCACGTTAAGACAAGCGCAGGTACAATTGGTTATAATAATAATAATTGTTTTCATTAAATCAATCGTGTTCTCGTGATAAAATTAAGTCACTACAAAATAATTCATAGTTGGGCGCCAACAAAGAGTACAAGTGAACTCAGAGTTCTCTAGCTGGGAAATACTTCCAAGTGTGTTGTGATGCATATCGGTCATCAAGGTACAGATACGTACACGAATAATAACATTGAGCCACCTGTTGACCAGACACGTAATGACTTAGGTGTCATCGTTAGCCCAGACTTAACGACTACTGCACACTGCCATGCAATAGTCGCCAAAGGTTTTAGAACCTTATGGTCAATACGTAGGGCTTTTAGTCATGTCGACGCTAAAATGTTTTCGACTTTGTATACAGTGTTCGTACGTCCTAAACTTGAGTACTGCATACAACCGGCTAGCCCCTGCTTAAAAAAAGACAGTGGGCTTTTGGAAAAGGTTCAGAGAACAGCAACTAAGCTGATTTCCGGAATAGCGAAGCATCCGTATGATGCTGGACTGACCAAGGTAAACCTCTCCACGTTGTCATATCGTAGAACTAGAGGTAACCTGATTACAGTTTACAAATTGCTTAGTGATAAATTTTTCACCTGATATGCCCTCATTTTTCTTGTCTTCCAAAATAGAGAACTTTCGAGGACACTCCGAAAAAGTTCACAGGCCCAGAACAAATTACTTGTCAGGTGACTATCAACATTCCCATCGAATCATCAACGAGTGGAATTCATTACCTCAGCACGTGGTTGAGGTTCCATCCGTCGACTCTTTTAAAAGAAAGTTGGATCAACTGAGAGACCACCATTGCCAGGACTAACACAGGCAACCAAGTCTCTCCTTTCCAAACTGAAACTTTAATAGTAAACTGTACCGAGATGCTGTCCTGAGCCCTTGAGCAAATGTCAAACTTTCTCCTAAAGGACTTCTAGGAAGTCAATTGGTCTACCGCAGCCGGCAGTGAATCCCAGAACTTGACTACTCATCAATAGTATAGGGCGAAGCGGTAAATAAATCCCCACAATCAATAGCTTAGTGAGTCTCCGACATTTGTTGCTGACCTTATTAATTTTAATGAACTCACCTACCTGAAGGCACTCGGCCATGCATCCGAACCAGATCACGAGTGAGTACGCCGTGTTTCGCTTCTTTTGCAATGGCTAACTAGCTTAGATTAGTCATTTCTTGATATATCGATATTCTGTCAAATATACCTTCGAACCTCTTCGCTTCTGAATTCTAATTTCACTGAGTTGTCAAGTTTTGAATCACTGCCAATGATACCAAAATCTTTGCGTTCTCGAATTCAAGGCATTATTGTCTCTTTGATGGTGTGCTGATATCTTAAACAATAAAAGTGCATTTTTTCAGTTCTTTCGGATCTTCAATATAAGTACAAGTGTTTACGCACTGTATGAACTTCTCTTTATTGGTAATTTACTAAGCGAAAGAATTCGCTTCGTAGATGTATGATATAGGTGGTAAAATTGTTCAGTTATACGACATATTTGAACAAAGTCTACAATAGTAACGTAGCCCTCTGTGATCATTAGGAGCATTTGAATTACAGTATGAACTAAGAATTCCAGAAATAACGTAATTGGATAAAGAGGTACTAGATAAGCACAATCGGATGTACTGTATTTAGAATTCGAAATCAAGAATTAAACAAGTACAAAGGAATCATTAGTTCATTCAAATACCACAACCTCTTGAAGTGACCAACTTATTAGTTTGATATCAATCTACTTGTCTCTGATAAAACATATATGTTGTTCGCTATTTTTATCTTGATAACTGAAGACGGATGCACTAAGTAATGTATATTTGATCAATTTTATGAACTGTCATATTCAGTAATATTAAACAGAGATAAAGTGTACAGGGACTTAATGAGTACAATTGAATCAAAGTATTAGTAGTGTTGAACAGAATAAGACATCTTAGTAACAAAATCGAACGTATATCGATACTTGCACTGTAATTAACAGCAACAACATGACTATGAAACAAGTTAAAATTGTCATTTAAACAGATTAATTTCCATTTTAATTGAAATGATTCCAAACTGTTCAGAGTATCACTCTGTCAATGTGTTCAAGATATTTATATAATAATTTGCAAGTGAAATATGATTGACAGAAAAAAACGAGTAGAAGGATAAAAAATACATAAGCAAGATAAAGTGATTCATACATAATGTATCCTAATTAATCACGCAACTGAACCAATGTATACCTGATATCCATATACGTTGTCAGATCTTGCCTCTAAAATGAGTATGAGTATGAATATTTATTCATCAGACACCATAGTATTGTACCCTTAATCCACGTGAATAGAGGTAAGCGAGACTAATGGATAAAATATTTCCTTGCCTTATATATTCATTCACTGTTACAAATACATGAAGACAGTCAATGAGTGTGCATATACGTACCTCTTATCTTCCTAATAAAATCTACGGTGATTTCAGCCACAATTGAAGAGCGTTTCGGGTAAGAAAGACTAGTTATGGTCAGAAACTTAATCTCAACTGAATGTTCACTTAATCCTGAGTTCCTCAACCATTACTTTTGGTATTTCTGTGGTGAATTTAAGGTATTGATATCTTACTGTGGTAACGTAAACTACTTAGAAACCTGTAAGCTATGAAAAAGTAGCCCTCTATCTTACGTATGCTAGCAAGAACAGTTCAGCTTTGTGTGCGATTCTCAGATGTTTTATTCCTCTAACCTGTCGTCACATCTGTTGCACCACCATGAATTGGTACCAAATGATCCGTGTTGTATTTTATTACAGTAAACGCAAGAACCAGGTCTTCTAAAATGTAAAGCTTTCCTAAGACTTTAACTCATTCTATCAGATATTTAGTAGTAGTGTACTGAGAGTGAAATATCCCTACAATCGATTTTATCCAGTTGAATTACATTTAATCGATCTTGTCGCAGAATTTTGAGAACATGAGTTTCTCGTTGTACACCTGTGAAACTGATTTGCAATCGCTTCATGAGTATGATAATCCTCATACACTTTAGCGAGATCGATAAATAGTGCATATATATGTTCTTGTCCCAACATTCTGCTTAGCCATTTCAGTTTCTTGCGAGATTTGCCATTTTTTGTATCAATATTGCGCTTCATGGAATAGCTTGTTCTCATCAATGAATTTTATAATTTAACCATATATAAGCTGTTCAATAACTTTGATAATATTCAAAATTATGCTACTGGGCTGTAGGAACTTCAGTGATTTCTACGTGTAATCCTGAATTGGCAGTACATCCAAAAATAACAGAAATATGGTAATCCTTACTTAACTTACATAACAGTGATCAGAACCATGACAAATATCAGCTAGATGATTAGTCCTTTACGGATTAGTTGTATTTATTTTGCATTATTATTTTTGATTCACCTAATTTCAATTTCTTAATTTGACAGATTCATCATCATCATAATAGGCTAAATTTTTTAGATACTAAAACAAAATCAAATCTCATAAATATTAAATATGTTAAATTCAATTTGTATTGTTTTACTTGTATCTACCCAGTGTTATTTAGGACTGCAATTAATCAGTCTCATGTTGGCATATGTACATTCTGTGAGGATTGCCTTGATATAGCCTTAAGTCACAAGCTTTTAAAGCAAAGATGAATTAGTGGCTAGCAATGAAATCCAGGATGCATGTTTCGTCCCATTTGGAACTCATCAGCTGAATGTTAGAAGAAACATTCAACATGGACAAACTGATGATAGCATTTTTCTCATAGAACGTTAATAACTAACAACAATGAACTGAATAACATACGAATGAATGTATACGTTTATATATATATATATATATATATATATATATATATATATTTGATGATATGATGAAAATGTATAGGATAGTGAACTAAATACTAAACAATTTGACAACTAAATTCATGAATAAAAGTACGATTAAAATAAATAATACTAATTAAAAATTATATCGAAAGAACATCCAGACCTCCCCCCCCAGCAAAATGGAAAAAAAAATTAGTTCTTTTAAGTAACGAATAAATGCCATACAGGTAGTGAATGTACTTTGAAACTCATTATGTATGACTATGATTACCAAAATATTGTAAACAGTGCAAAAATGTAATATGTGAGTTAATGCAGGGTATGGGTGGTGATGGGGTAGGGGGTATAAAGTGCAAATAATAAATGATGAAAAAGAAAATTTTTTTTCTTCCCTTTTTATGACAAAGATCACCGATAAGAGAACATATTGAAAAAGAAAAAAAAATTTTGATAAATAACTTAATCAATAAAATGAATCAATAATAAAGTAAACATATTGACTGAACAAGAATGTGAAAGATAAGACTAAACTAAATGCCATTATAAAGATTATTTATCATAATTATTAGAAATAAATGAGTAGAGTAAAGAAATTCAATGTGTCCATGTTGTTTTTGTTTAACTGTTGTCTTATATGAGTTGTTGTTGTTGTTCTTCTTCTTCATCAACTTCTTCTTTCTTAAATTCATTTAGATTCTTTTCTTTCTTGAATTAATTATTTAAAGTTATATGATCATCAGTATCATTTTCACTGCATGAACATTGAAAATCATCATCATCTTCTTCATCAGATCTTAATGGATTTTCATATAATTGAATTGTTGGATTACATACAATTGATGATCCACTTTTAAGATTATTATTATTATTATTATTGTTATATATTGATGATGACATATTCAAAGAGGCATCATAACGCTATCAAGAAATATTGAAGAGTATAATACAGAATAAAATATGTTAGTTAAATATTACTGTTATATAACGTAGTGTAAAATATTAAACCACTATAGGCATTAGCTGATAAATAAAATTAAAGTGATTCTGAGTAATTTACGGTTACGAAGTTATAGAAATTTGAACCCTCCCTCCCCGCCACCACCACGTATCTCTCTTGGCCAGATAATAGTTCTTAATGACGATTAATCGAATGTCGATCTTTTCAAAGTTTTCACCTACTTTCTATTTCGAGATATTTCTTCAGTCTTTTATTATTCTAATCACTAAGTACATCTGATATTATGTTGAGTTACATAATCTATTACGTTGTTATCATTGACTCATAAATTGACTTTGTGGATTTAATAATATTTATAAAGTTTGTATAAATATTACCGTATATTAGAGTAAATCTTGATGAAGATTTAATTGAAACCAACATTGTTTATTTATGTGTATTGTTCTAATGAAATATACAGTTTGAAAACTCATTTAATTTTAGTGTAAAACCAAGATGTTTACATACTACTGAGTACATATTACCATCAATGATTCAAATAAAAAGAATTCAGTGACTGAATTTACTGAATATCACTCCGTACTTTTATATAAGATTATGGATAATATAATTTAATAGTTGAATTCATAACTCAATTGAAGTTAGACCACTATGGAAAACCTGGAAGCACTGGATGGCCGTTTCGTCCCAGTATTGAACTCCTCAGCAGTGCGCATCCACGATCCCGCCTCGAGAGACTCGAACCCAGAACATACCGGTCTCGCACGCGAACGCTTAACCTCTAGACCACTGAGCTAGCCGGCATTCAACGGTGTTAATTCCTAACTCCAACTCCTTATTATATATTATTTGAATAACTTTATATTATTAGAATTAAGCTGTGGCAATTTCAACAGCAAGTTTGATGCCATTAAAACTTTCCACAGTATTTTCAACATGATTAATTGAATTGAACTAAATGGAAAACTTATTTACATTAAACTATTAGGATTTGTAAAAACTACTTTAATGTTGAAGTTGAATATTCAAGAATTAAACCCCTTACCTTTTGTTTGAAAGTTCCAAGTTATTTAGTTAATTATTTACACATATAATAGCTAACAAAAGGAAGTGGAAGTCTTTAATTAAGTTGGGTTCGAGTCCTAGAGTGAACATCACCTCTGAGATGCAGGTATATTTAGACGACGAGTCCCAAATAGGGCGAAACGCACGTCCTGGATTCCACTGCTATCCACTATTCATCTTTTCTTATAAAGCTTGTGATTTAAGGCAATGTCGAGGCAGTCGTCATAGGATGCACATATGCCAATAAGAGACTAATCAACTGCAGTTCTAAACATCAATGGGAAGATTCAAACAAACAATATCAAATGAATTTAACAGTTCACACCTAGAACAAAACTTAGGTTCAGGGTATCTTGATAGATATCTCTGATCACCTAAAATCTAGACGTAGTTCCCGAGAATCTAATTCATTTGGACTAAATCAATTCAATCAAGACTATGGTCTTGATAGTTGTTATTTGGTAACCAACCAATGTACGCAAAATACTTCGGATCCGTTGGCCAGGCATTATCAGCAACAACCTACTATAGAAAAGAACAAACCAGATCCCAGCGGAGAACGAAATCAGGAAGAAGCACTAGAAGTGGATAGGACACTCATTGAGGAAAGCACCCAATTGCATCACAAGACAAGCCCTCACATGGAATCCTCAAGGCCAAAGGAAAAGAGGAAGATCAAAGAACACATTACGCCGAGAAATGGCGACAAACATGAGAAGAATAAACAATAATTGGATAGAACTCGAAAGGAAGGCTCAAGGCAGAGTGTGTTGGTTATTACTTGTCAACGGCCTATGCTCAATCGGGAATAACAGGCGTAAGTAAGTAAGTAGGTAATTAACCAACTATTGACTATGTTCTATCATGTTTAGAAGAATGATGATATGTTTTAATCATAAAAACAATTTTATAGAATCAATAATTGATAAATAACATTTTAAAATACTTTTTCATCCAATAAAATAGTTTTGGCTTCATATTCTTTCATATTAGATTGATTCATAAATGGATTTGGGGTAATTCGTATAGATTGAACCTTCTGTTCATTTTCATATTGTTGTTGTTGTTGCTGTTGATGATGATTTATTATCGTTTGAGAATTATAATCATTCAATTTTGAATTTCTTAATTTTTCCGCACTAGTTTCTAACTGTTTTCCATCTTGTAATTTATTCATTTGTTGTTTTATTAAATAGTTTTGTTTTAATGAATTCATATGATCAAATGATGTTATTTGAAAATTTTGAATTTTTGATTCAAACTGATCCGATTTTAAATAAACACGATGAATTCGTTTCATAGCAACAAATAATATTAAGAGAATTGCTATAATTGAAGAGGTGATAAGTAATAAAATACCCTGGAATATAATACAAATTGAATAGAAAAGTAATAATTACGTAAATATGTAACCATAATCTGTGTTTAAATATTATAATCTGGTTAATGTTATAACTTGTGGCCTGTGTGTCCTATTAATGTATAACGTAATGATACTGTCAATTAAAGAACAGTGAATTATCGATCGGACCAATGAAACATAAAACCCGTACGAGCAGTCTAGAGTCCTTATCGGTCCTGCTACCTGCCTAGCCCTGCCTGTTAAGTTCAGAACACCGATCTCAACCTTTGCGATATAAAATCGTGTATTTCAAACACATTGAGTTTATATACTAACCAAACAGACCACATCCTACCATAGAATACAAAACAACATTTGTACAAAATTTAGCCAAAAGTGGTTGTGAATGTGGGAGATAGTAATTGATAGACTGTACATAAATCAAGAATGGTAAATCGTATAATAATAGTTCACAAGTCAAAATAAAACTTATGATAAGAGGAACACGAATATGAATAGTTTAGTTACTTAAAAATTACACAATAAAAATATAAGTATAATATTAGTCCATAAAGAGATCTCAACAGTTATCATTCATTATTCTCATCGGGATATAACAGTTAACATCTTAGAAATATACACATAATGATAGTTGCGATGTAAAAAAAATTACTCAGTAACTCCATTATGTTATGAAAATTCAGATGGAATCAACCAAAGAAAGGAATTTTTCAATTCGTTATGATGGAAATTTTCAACCATTAGAGTACATTTGAATATAATCCACTGATGAAACTAGAGTGCATAGTCAATGGTTCTTAAGAAAACTTCGAAATGTTAAATAAATATTCATGTATTTCACATTGCACCAAAATCGTATTACTTTTATTCTTAGTACTGGTGGTTAAACTGAAGGAAATGTTCTTTTTGCTAGTAAAAAATTAAGCAAGCTGAACAATAATGGGCACAGTTTAACAATATGATTGAGAAAGGTTACAACTGAAATCAAGTGAAGCAAACAAAATATTATAAAAGATTCAACAGGAAATATTATATCTAATGACACTTTAATTTTCTATGAATTTTAATAATGGACATATAATCGTAAGAATGATGGAGACCTAAAGTAGTTTATATCCATAGGAAATCTATAGAAAGTCGATTCTGAGTGTGTAATGTAACTACTGATAGGGTGGAAAAGATTGATACTTGATGAGTTTTATTTATACAACATATAAATGTTCAAATAAAGTTCATATTTTATAGTTCGAAAAAAATTTGTGTATCAGGTAAATGATATTTTCCAATGAGTAAATAAACAAAACAGAATTATTTTACTAATGTTTCACCGCTTAATACTAATAATATCTTAGTTAAATTGGACAACCACTGCCAGGGAAGTCCTACTCACTGCCTTCTCGTGGCGGGGGTGTTGTTTACGAAATTGAGAGGACGAAAGGCAAATGTATGGCGCTTTGACCGTGTTGGTGTAAAAGGAAAGTCCATTTAGGAGGGGGGGTTGGAAAACCCCGATTCCAAAGCAGTGGTGCACATGGGCTCTAGTATCCTGAAGGAACAAATGGCGTATGAACCAATTGTTGGTCACCGGCTACCATGGGACTGCATCTTCTTACATTGCTCCACTTCCTTGTGGATCAGACTTTTAGGTCAAAGGCTCAGGCTGTGGCTCCCTAAGAAAAGCACCTGCTTCGGTTTGGGCACCCGGGTAGTATCATAGCCCTCACACAAATCGAATGATTTGTGTGCCACATATAGATTTGGTGCCCTCTTATACCAATGTTTATGTGTTTAAATAAATAAATAAAGGCAACGAGATTGACGTTGATAACATCGAAGTCGTTCAGAAGAAGTTCAAAAACCATACAGAATATCTCATAGAAGAAACACGTCGAATTATCTGAAAAGGAATGAGGAGTTGGGAAGAAATATGATGGAGCTTTAATACACCTCCTCCTACGACCCCCATCCCACAAAAATCATATTGTTCACAGAAGCTTAATCAGAAGAACATTGATCGGTTAACTGTATGTGACCTGAACTTTTTGAAAATTCTAGTTAACCGTTATATTAATAAAGTTGTTAATCTTAGATAGAGAAAAGTTAGCAAAAACCAATTCCTCCCACAATTATAGAAATTGTTAAGTTTTATTGATATCACGAACCAATCTACGTCAAACAACCATTGAAAACCTAAAAGCATCCAACCGCTTTTTCGTGTTGGTATGGGACTGCTTAACAGTGTGTATCTATAACCCATGATAAGGAATCCAATTCTGGCAATCATTCTCACACACCAAAACCTTCAGATCACTAAACCAGCAACCAATTATGTACGTGTCTCAATTCCATAACTATGGAGTATTATACGACCGTCTTCCATCGTCTTCAGTGGTTCCTAGTGAAAAACTGTGACCAGTAGAGTCCAGTCGTATCGATCATGTAGAAGTTACCTACCAAATACTATGGAGCGTGATTGTGCAATACCCCATATTAACTAAGTCGAGACATGTACGCTATTGGATGCTTGGTTCGGCAGTCTCAAGGTTAAGTGTTGGTTTGTGAGAATGATTTCTAGGATTGAATTCCTTATGGTGGGGTTGTAGATACACACTATTGAGGAGTCCCATACTAACACGAAACAGAAACACAATTGAAGACCTTGCGTTTCGATCCAAGCTGCAATATAATACATCAGTATGGTGGGAGCAGATCAACAAAGAGAAAAAGAATGGAGAGAGAAAGGCGGCAAGGGTGATAGTAACAAGTGAATATAAAGCTCGGAATTGAGAAAGAAAGACAGAAATAATTCATCTACCTTACTGAGATTGATTCTCAATCATATGATTTCAAACAAACCACCCAACTACGAGAAACACTTGAATGGATAAAGTGAACGCACTCTATGTATGGAAACTAACTACTTGTCAAATCCTATAGTATCTTCGCCCATTCTAATCCACGTGGACAATTACGGACACACATCCGACTGGGAAAATATTGCAATATTCGATAGAGGGAATACTAAAATGATCGAATAATTTTCAAGACCTTGGTAGTAACTTCAACTAGCACTCAATCAACACATCTTAATCGAGACAATTTATCAATCAGTCGAAAAAAATTGACAAATGTATAAGAACAGAATTTAAGTCAAAGGGGGAACATAATCAAAATTATTTTACCGGTAACGACAAAGTGAAGGTCAATAATAATCACTAAAACTCAAGGTTGACTTGATGAGCTGTCAAGCCTAAGTGAAGGAATTCAAATAACACATTAGCACCTAACGTTTGTGTTGAAAACGTTGTTGAGAAGAACAATGACCGCTTCACGATCAAATCATCGAGCTCGCAGAGCGAAACTTCACTTAATTCATTCACTCAGGCTAAAAACGTTTACCAACATAATTTATTTTTATACACATACTGATGAATTAGAATTATCTTTTGACAAGCGAATGAATAATCTTGTCTGTGACATTAGTAGGGTAAAGGTCGAATGAATATTCTATATTTAAGCCAAGATAAAAAAGAACCCCAATTACAAAGTTCCGCTCCAATCAACAGTCGTAGAGAGAAAAAACATTGATACTTATAGAATGTTTAAGTATATCCTTGAGGCAGTGCTCTTTATTATCAAGAATCGATATTTTAACTGATTCAATACAAGGTATTCGAAAACCTGAATTATTTTTTGGATCCTCATCTAATACGCTTATGTTATCTGGATGCTTGATATCTATCAACGAACCTCTAAGTAGAAAAGTAATTTTCAAAAAGCCGAATATAAAGAATTTGAATCTTTATCAGAGTATTAATCAAAATGTAGAGAGTAGACACCCTCGATTAACATAAGTTAACTTACTTCAAATAAAACTCACCATATGGTCTCAATCAACCGCAACTATCCAAACAAACAACATCATAGTGGTGTTCTGGTTAAGTCAATTAATCAGTGACAGATATTATAGAACTTCTCAAATGATCATATCAGATACCATCGTTCAGGTCGAAAAATAAGACTAGAACCAGAAGTATCTAAATTTGCCGATTAAACAATTTAGCCAAAGATACAGATTCGTTCAATGAACCCTTTTAAATGTCTTAAATTTGTTTTACTTCCTGAACTTTACTGTTCTCAAGTAAAATACTTACGGAAATCAGAACCTTGAAAACTATATTATTCTACTTGATTCTCTGGTAATTACCATGAAAGAATTTCTAAGTTATCTTATCAATTAGAATGATCAACAATCTAGATCACTAAGATGACACTAATATTCAATTACAAAGCAATCACTATAAACTTAATTAGCTTAATTAATTGTCTCAAACAAGTTGTAAAGATCTTGCACTAACTAATACTTGAATACTTCTCGTTAATCTTTTATTTCGACTTTTAGTGGATAACAATCAACTAAAGATTAGCTGACAGTCAATTAAACTGTTGCTCGAATTCTCCTACTTAAAAATATAGTTGGTTGGTTTGAAAGTGAATCATTGAATCATCTTTATTAACAACAATTATACCATTAAAAGTAGATATTAATTACCCTTCAAAATCTTAGATGAACTTAAAACAATATGATTCAAATAGATTAATAGTACAATATTCAACTGTTGTATTAAGTGAATCTAGTTTTAATTTCATGAGAAACCAATTGTACCAAGTATTGTACTGATTTACTATAAATGGAATGTGGTCAGCAGTGGAATCCAGAACGAACATATATTGTCTTATTCAGGATTGTCAGATGGATATAATTCTATCCCAGTGTTGATATTTACATTCGAACTTGAACCTAGTAGCTTTTTATTCAAATCCCAACGCGTCATCTACTAAGTTGGTCACTAGCTTGTCCAACGGTTATGACGCTTAATATTATTATTAGTAAGAATTTGAAATATTCAGATTTTAATTTTTATCAGTCTTCGTTCTCAATATGTACATCCTGTCTAGGCTACCTTGGCGTAGACATTTCGTGAATAGATGAATTGAACCTATCAAAATACTAACATTGACAAAACGTAGGTAGTACAAAGACTTCTGATGACTATTAGCTACTAATTAAACTCTTGATCATTCCCTTGACATTTTTTCTTTTCCCTTTCTATTCTCGTCACTTTTTTGAGTAGCGTTTTAATCATATTAAATTATTTTGTTTTATTTCTGCACTATTTATGAATAACAACATTACAAAGCAACACACACATTCGTATTCTGTTGTTCAGAACATTTACCTGACTAGTATAATGGTTGAATTTAGGCATTAACACTGTTGGATGACGGCTCACTGGTCTAGAGGTTAAGCGTTTGTGCGCGAGACCGATAAGTTCTGGGTTCTAATCTCGCGAGGCGGGATCGTGGGTATGCACTGTTGAGGAGTCCCATACTAGGATGAAACGGCCGTTCAGTGCTTTCAGGTTTTCCATGGTAGTCTAGCTTCAATTGACTCATGATCTCAACTATTGAAATTACTACAATTTCCACGAAATCCCTTCAGATACTAAGCAATTATTAACAAATATTTTACTGATAAGTTTCAAGTAAAGATTATTTATAATTATCTGTACACAACATTTTGAATAGGATTTTTTTTGTTTAAATGGTATCCAGTAAATTTAATATTAGCCTGTACACCGATTTGTCACTTTTTAGTCGGTAGCCAATTATATGTTAGTCTAGTCCTTAGTATTGATCCAACTATATCAATCAAGTTGTAGTACGATTGCCAGTCTAAATTTTTTTGTACTATACTCACTGGATTTTTGATGTTGCATAACTGAAGGCAACTTACAATAAATCCGGGATCTAGATTGCGAGTTAGTCGGCAATCCAAAGCAAAATCTATCAGGAATCCTAAGGAGACAGATGTTCTCTGTCAGGTTTGAACTTACGTCACCCAGTGTTGCAGTTCAAGACAATGTCGTTAGGCTATTTCGGATATCGTTTACTGAGGTGATTACATCGATTTATTCCTGAATAATGAACAATACAGTATTTTATAAGTAAAGGGTTATGCCTGTCGCTATTCTAAGGTTACTGCCGATCCCAAGCCAGGGTAAGGGAGGGGGGTTGGGCGTAGGATCAGCAACCCCATCCTATAGAAGAAACCTTGCCAAAAAAACTCCAGCCAGAACGAACATATTAAACCACGTGTATGACTGATCCGAAAAATATCAGCACTATGAAAGAACGAATTAACAAAGCGGGAAGAATAGGATTTGAAATAATATTCATTAATTTATGATACAAACAATTAGAGAATAGCATTCATGTGGATGAGCAGAAAGCCTATAAGAGTCATCGAAGATGAAGCTATAATAATTGATCCGTCGTTCACATGTGCCGTTTTGTTGACTCACGTCTGTCATACACACTGTTTTTGAAGCGATGGTGCAAGTTTACAAGTCAAGGTGATTTTAATGTTGATAAAACAATGGAGATAGTGAATAAGTTTACTAATCACTTGAGAAAAATTAATACTTCCTAGCATTTCGGTTTTTTTTGTGATCAGTTGTTCATTTATACTATTTCCATTCTGATTAACTAGTAACTGTGTATATTTACTCCATTTCAATTTGAAAATCACTTGAGGTTGTCGGCATAATTCCTTTGGATGACCCAGACTTAGGTTTTCTTACCAGTTGGCACTCTGACCAGTGAGATGTAGCTGAAATAATCTTGAAGGGGCTAACCATATCTGTCGGATTTAGATTGTAATCTCACTGATGAAGTCTAATTAATACAATAGACTGTAAAATATGATACTGGTTACTATCAACCAGTAATTAAAAAATAATCAAAAGAAATGATAATATTGAATGTTAAGCAATCGATAGCAAACACACATACCTTACTCCAAGTGCTTGTTTTATTGTGTAAATGAATAGCCGGCTGAAGGTTATTTATATCCCTTTTATTTACCAGACGAGGTTTTCCTCTCAAATATAGTGTTGTTGAATGCTGTTGTACGCTCGATGGAATAACCGACGGCTGTGATGATTTTTCATGATAAATATTAAACTGTAAGCGAAAAGTAATAGTGTAAAGAGACGAAAAAAACATTAAACAGTAAATTATTAGAGACAAAAAGGAAAGAAAACTACGAAATATAGATTAATGTAGAGGTTTATGGAGATCTTCCAGTCTCATGTGTAATATCACGGAACGATCTTAGTTACAAAAATCCACTGAAAACTAGGAATAACTGGGTGATTGTTTCGTCACATTATGGGATTCCTCAGCAGTGGGCATCTGCAAACCTGCCACCAAGACACAAAACCATGATCTTCGGTCTCTTGCGCAAACCCTTAATGTCTAGAACACTAGCATGATTAACTTCGAGAGTTAATTACGGAGTTTTATTGAGAAGCCGTAACTATTGGAGTTCAACTGAGTCAAATGTGAGGCTATTCCACTCTTATTATATTGACAAATGGTTATTCGATATTACAAATTAATTGAAGTTAAACATGCAAACCAATGGATGCCATGTTAGTTGTTTAAAGGCTGAGTAGTTGCACGTGAGACCAAAAAGCATCGTGTAGGGTCGTAGATACATACTGCTGAAAAGTCCCAAACAAGGACGAAACAGCTGTCCAATGATTTCTGGTTTTGGGAGGTTATTCAACCATGATCATTCCATGATCTTATTTAAGATACAAATTGTTAGAAATCTGACATGACCCACGTACTCTTCATTTGATCAAATGAATCATCAATAGAAAAAAAAAGTACTGCATGAACTAATCGGATTAATCTCAATACACAAATAACTACACTACGATTTTATTACAAATATGCGTGTTACTGTAAGATTACTTAAAGATAGTAAATATAGACCGTAGATTCAATACCGTATTTATTTTCTCAAAATATCAAAGTAGGTTTATTTTGATTTTAAAACAAAGTGACAATTGTTTTAAGAGCCATTAAGTATCATGCTAAACAAGCGAATGGAATATGAAGAATCGTGTTTTGTAGTTGATTGAACCATGTCATCATATTTGGTAACAGAATGTACTAAAAAAGTAGGTAGACAAAAACAAAAATACCAACAGGTTGTGTTTACATTATTGTAATTAGTTAATTTTTTGTGTGAAGTTTGACTGATTATCTGAAATTAAGTAGTGCGAGGAGCTGATGAAAATTTGGAAAACATTAAGTATTTGTTTCATTTCTGTTTGGGGAGCTTCCTAGTAGTCAGAAAACGCGACTGAACAATAGAATCAACCTAAAATGTTAATGCCTTTCGCCGAACAATAAATTTGAACAAAACAACAATTCAGTACTCATTGTCTGTCAGTGATTTTCTAATTAGTATAAATTTATAAGTGGAACATAGACTTAGTGGTTGAACCACTGGCCTTGCAACAAGTTTGACCATAGCCCGCTTCCATATAAAGATATTTTATGTTACCATTATGGTCTCGAGATAGCTTCTAGTAATTCCCAATCGCAAACAGCCGGTAAATTTTCCCATTATGAAATGATATATATGCTAACTAGATTGCATAACCAGTATAATAAAACGGCTTAACGTTATTAATCCACAAGCGAATAAGAGAAAAAGTAGACGGGACCTTCAGGAGGTCTTTAGTATTTTCAACAAGAATAAAAAATTTATTGATGTTCGATGAAATCTCAGCACGGATTCAGAAAGCCCGGTTGGTGTTTGCCAATTCGTGTTACATGTGACATAGGCGAAATGTTCGTCTACCATTCACAGGGCATGCATGCCGTGAAACGGTCCACTCTGTCCTACCTTATATAGTTGTGAAACATGGTCTATGAAAATAAAAGAAATGTACGGGTTGAAGATTTTTGATCGTATGTTACTCAGAAGCATTGCTCGCGTTCCACGAGACGATGTTTCGGTTAGCTGAGGTGCTAAATAGGTTAATGAGACAGTGAATTTTCACCGGCTGAGGTAATTGTGATACCTGTTGCGTATCTCTAACCACCACCTACTTAGATGAGTAATGCATGTTAGTGTTGAAATCGGTTGACAGGAAACGAGGCGCGGTGAAACCAAAATGCGGCATCAGTTCACGAAGTCATTGTCCGTTAATCTTAGCCATGTTGGTAATTGCAAACTTGCTGATTGAAGTTGACATTTATTAGAAATCTTAGTTGATATGGCTCAGAATAGTTCACGATGGTGTAAATGCACTTACTCTTTACTTTCCTGTCAATTCTGATTTCAAGTATCCCTTCATACATACCTAATTGATAGGTTCAAATTAATTAAGTATTGGGTACTGATAATAAAAATAACGATATTTCCTCTACTCATTGAGATATTAAATTATTATTTTTATTGTCATATTTACAAGGTCTTTCTTTTATCACTGCTACTACATTATTTTGATCTCTGTTGTTATTTTCATCATGTTGTGCCAATTAGGTAGGGGTAACTTGGCTAATGCATTTCTATACTAGTCTCTATGCCTGTCCATATATATGTGATTCAAATTATCACCTAAATTAGAAAGCTTTCAAAAGCCTGCTATCCCACTAATAAAAAGTGTAAAATGTACTTTTAAATGTCCTATAAAGATTTATCAAACTTCATCCTATTGCACAAACAGGTGGCTATCAGGACTCAGTGGTTAAGCAGATAACGCGATGGCGTTCGAAGCGAACGGTAATGGGTTCGAGTCCCAGAGTACGCGCAAGTGATGAGTCCAAAATAGGACGAAGCGCACGTCCCAGATCCCAATGCTAAGCACTATCCATCTTTGCATATAAATTTACAGTATCGGAAAGTTAGGATAGGAGACTATCTGATACAATTTCGGCCTACAAAAATGCTTAAAACTTGTATATATTACAGTGGCTGATCGGCAGTTACCATTATTCAGTGCTTTAAGGTTTTTTTTTTCTAGTGTTTCCTTTTCTGAACCGCACGCTTTATTCGTAAGTTCCTCTCTGTCTTCATAGAAAACAAACTTATGGAAAATTTCTCTACCGATGACTAGTAGTCTAAACTACTGGTATAAGCTATAATTGTCCTACCTCTGTCTGATCGGATAATTTAATAATCTATTTCATTATTCAGACTTTCAAATTAATACTGGATGATCATTTAGCTAACTACTTGCTAGAACAAGTCTATTTCAACACTTTTGTATCGGTTCATGTAATCACATCTCAGAGAGATGGAAGAAGCAAAAAACAATTGTCAGAGTAGTAGAAGTACTAGCAGTTTTATCGGTAGTAGTGTAGTGAACAAGAACACCCGTGGGGACAATCGAGTGTATTTGACACAAAATTACAGGACTTGTTAGTAAAATCTAACAATCATAAAGTAAATGCTTAATTTGCAAAATGTCCAATTGTCTCAAAGTGACTCAGATTTCATTGTTCTTGCATTTTCATACAAATTGCATTCTGTTCCCATTCTTACTGTACGATCCTCTTGTCTCTCTGCTGTTAGACCTTCTGTTCACGACTAACATTATATACTACTTATGTCAGTATAAGTAGCACATACCACAGTAGTGGTAGTAGTATAAAAGATTAGGCATAGATAACATGGCTTAAGAAGAAAGAATGAATTCACAGCGTAAAAAGCAAATGAATTTATAAGATTTTGACTTATTCTAAAACATATCACCCATCATCTCTAAACAGTGGTTACCATGATTACACAAAACCCAACTAGATAGTTTGCACCTACCTAGACAACTCATGTCAATAGTTAAGGTCTGATATCAATTTAAATGAACTAGGTTACATAAATTGTTTATCTATCAACAATTTAATGTGGGGAGGGGGAAAAGATAAAACATCAATGACAGTTGAACAAATTATAACAAAAGTAGATCAAATTAGGTCATATTAAATAAACCCATTGATCTAATCAACTATGCACATGATTTGAATTTGGTTCGATCAGAACAGGAGGAAAACAAAGGCAAACAGAATTATTTAGATCCATGTTACTTAATGTATATACACTTCAGTATTGTTGTATACAATCTGATTAACATTTTTTTTTACAAAAGAATTAAATATTAAGCGTAAATAACTTAATTACTAACATAAGTTGTTTATCTCATGTGATTTGAATGTAACACATGTTTTTCTTGATTAAGTTTATAGATAACTTCTAATTTTCATAAGGTTGTCATAAAAATGGACTATTTTAGCACACAAGATATTTAGTTAAGATATTTACTTAATTACTTACTTATGCCTATTACTTCCAGTGGTGCATAGGCAGCCGACTAGCATTCTCCTCCTGAAGCCTCTCTGAGGCTACTGCAGGTCATAAGCCCGGATAAAGAAGGAAGGTTGGGCATGAGGTTAGCAACCCCATCCCGTAGAAAACTAACTGCTAAAAAAACGCTAACCAGAAAAAAATAATTCAGACTATTTAAGCACTTCTCATCTATCGAGTACTAGGATAAATCTGGCAGATAGTAACTTTTAACCACTTCCTAGTACTCCAGATATCTTTTACACTTGAAACTCGCACGGCTGAACAAAAGATGGATAGCATGGACCGAAACATTACTTCTAAGGTCGGTTTACGTAAAGAGTTAGATATTCTAGAACTTTTCTGCAAAACATGTAAAAAGATCAGTCATTCTGAAATCAATGATAACATTTGAAAGCTTGTCTCTTAACGTTATTGATAAACTTAAATTGTACTAGATAGAACATAATAATCTTAATATTGATAACAAAACGAGTGATTCCGATGGATATTAGCTGAAAATTTTCTCCTTTAGGATTTCTGCTATGGAAACATCAATTGAAGTAAACTAACATGTCAAAAAATCTTTTTCTACATAGAGGGTTAATTAATTATCGAGAAGTTTAGTCTATAGGTGCATACTTCTGGTTAGAATATTTCCTAGAAAACGTTTGGCTTCTTATAAAACACCGGAAAAGTTTCTGTTCATGTTATTCTGGTCTGATCACATTCTGTATTTAGACGATTGAATAATTAAGAAAAAAAATTGATAACTGTAATATCATAATCAGAATGGGTTTTGTGGAGATTTTTAGAAATTTCACAAGTTGAAATCATTAGTCAATTGAAGCCAGACCACCATGAGAAACCATTCTGATTATAATAATCACCTGCTCACTAGTGATTGACTTCAGGAGATACTCCTGGAGTTCTAGTGAGAAGTCGTTACCAGTGGAGTCCAATCAGGTCTGTTGTGAGATAGTAACTCACTGAAGACAATGGTGTACGGTGGCGCAACTTTGTGGATTGGTTGAAGCTAGACATTAACACCGTTGGATGCCAGCTCAGTGATCTAATGGTTAGGTGCTCGCGCGCGAAACTAGTAGGTCCTGGGTTCGAATCTCGCGGGGTGCGGGGTCGTGGATGCGCACTGCTGAGGAGTCCCATACCAGGACGAAACGGCCATCCAGTGCTTCGAGGTTTTCCATGGTGGTCTAGCTTCAATTGACTCATGATTTCAACTTGTGAAACTAATATTGTTGAGATAATTAGAAACTGGCTAGTCGTAAATTTAGGCTATCTACTCTCCCCCCTATTTTTCTTCTGGTGGTTGACTGGATTATGAAGACTTCGACATCTGAGGGAAAGTACGCAATTCAATGAACAGCTCAGAACCAATTAAACGATTTAGACTTTGCAGATGACCTAGCCCTCCTATCACATACACACGAACAAATGTAGATGAAGACAACTAGTATAGCAGCAGCCTCTGCATCACTAGGCCTCAACACACATAAAGGAAAAAGCAACATCCTCAAATACAACACAGAGAACACCAAACTAATCACACCTGATTGAGAAACTATGGAAGATGTGGAATCCCTTACGTACTCGGGAAGCATCATCGACGAACAAGGAGGATCGGATGCAGATGAAAAGGCAAGGATTGGCAAAGCGAGGGCCGCATTCCTACAATTGAAGAACATATGGAACTCCAAACAAATGTCAAAAATATCAAAGTCAGAATCTTTAATACGAACGTGAAGACAGTCATACTATACGGAGCCGAAATGTGGAGAACTAATACAACCATCATCAAAAAGGTACAAGTAGTTATAAAAAATTGTCTACGAAAGATACTCAATGTCCGTTGGACAGATACCATCAGCAACAGCCTACCGTGGGAGAGAACAAACCAGCTTCCAGCTGAAGAGGAAATTAAGAAAAGACGTTAGAAATGGATAGGACATACATTACGGAAACCACCAAGCTGTATCACGAGGCAAGCTCTAATTTGAAATCCTGAAGGGAAATGGGAAAGAGGAAGGCCAAAGAACACATTACGTCGTGAAATAGAAGCAGATATGAAAAGATGAATAACAACTGAAAAGGGCTGGAAAGGATTGTCCAGGACAGGATTGGATGGAGAGTGCTGGTGGGCGGCCAATTCTCCTTCAGAAGGAGTAACAGGCGTAAGTAATTATAATCAAACACTCAAAATCTTTTCATGTTTCAAAGACAAAGACAAAATGAAAATAAGACCCTCTTTTACAAAAGCATGTTTAAAAAAAAAGTATTTACGTTGCTTACATTCAGAAATTGATAGATCCAGACTATCTATTTGAGGTATAAACAATTATTGTAACCAATGATTGAAGATGAGAGGTGATATGTTTACAAATAGGTCACAATAGTGCAGACCTATGTAGTTATTGCCTTTACTTAGATCGTGAATTTTAACATTATCTTATATCTTTGTTTTATAAATTCATCCTTTCTTCCTGAATCATATAGCCTATGATTCATCTTTTCTATTACCACTGATAATACTGCTAGTAATTGTATTACTCTGAAATTTATTTTGATAATTTCATCTTTTTGTACTGATGTAGTGTGATTAAATGGATGTCAGTTTCTACGTTGCTTGTGACTTACTGATTGGCTTTTAATGATAACTGGGATAATTTAAGAAATGTCTTTACATTCATATGATGATTACTATTATTTTAGCTAGCACCTACTAGTTAGATTCAGAAAGTACACTTCATTTTATTTAAGAACTGTCATGTAATTGAAGGTAACTTCATTGAAATAATTCATATACCGATTGATAGTAAAAACGTACAATAAGAATGACAAAACTCTTGTACCAAAGAATAATTTAATATACCCATTTAAAAAGTATCAACTAATATGACCGTATAAAAGTATATAAAGCTCTAGTATTTGAAGTGATTCAAACAGAGTTCAAATGTCAGTGTGAACACTAAGTTGATGAGCTTTTAATAGAAAGAAATTTATGTTCTGAATTCTATCATTATCCACTATACAATATATCAGCTTAATAGGAATATAATTGGAAATAACACATAAACAGATATTTTGCGCCACCATTGTCTTAAGTGAGTTAATATCTCACAACAGACTCGATTGAACTCCACTGGTCACAAATTTTCAACAGAACTCCAGGAAATAACTCTTGGAGACAGTCACTACTGAGCGTATGATGATTATAATCAGAGAGGGGTGGCGGTGGATGGTGACGCAAAATCGTGGATTGGTTGATGTTAGAAATTAACACCGTTGGACGACGGCCGGCTTGGTGGTCTAGTGGTGAAGCGTTCGCGAGCAAGACTGATAGGTCCTGGGTTCGAGTCTCACGGGGCGGGGTTCCATACTAAAACGAAACGGCTATCCAATGATTCCAGGTTTTGCATGGTTGTCTAGCTTCAATTGACTCATGAATTTAATTAGTAAAGTACATTGTTTAAAGCATGTGAATTTAGGATTGTCAAACAAAATAGAATAAAATTGTTAATATTGATATGATTCAAACGGCTGAAGCAGTAGCGATCTGGATGACGAAACCGGAGCTATGCGTACAGAAGAAATATCTTCAACCACTCCTCCTCTGCTGGCCAACCTCAAGGACAATTATTCAATAGTAATATTAGCTGTTGAATGACCTAATTTGACCATTGTACTTACAACCTCTCGTGATCAATTGTAATTGTCTGTTATCTTTATTGACAAATCTTTGTATTATTATTATTATTATTATTATTATTATTATTAATATTATTGTTTAAACATCAATAGTAATAATAATAATGATAAAGAACTAATTTTATTTATGAAACTCAATGGTATACTAAGTATTCAAATCCATTATTTCACATCTATGCAGTACATTAGAACAAAAAGTTTATCATATCTTATCAATAGAATTGCAATCAGAAACAAACCTCATTTGAATCATTTTGTTAATCTAAAGTTTCTTGTTTGGTAAGTCATTCATTGTAGAATGACACATACCTGTTAATGTAACTAGTATTACATTAAATAACTAATTCTAAGGAAAAAAACTTTATCATGATATCATAAGGGGTTTTTGTGGATATTATAGTAATTTCAACAGTTGAGATCATGAGTCAATTGAAGCTAGACCATCATGGAAAACCTGGAAACACTAGATGGCTGTTTCGTCTTAGTGTGAAGTTCCTCAGCACTGCGCATCCACGATCCCACCTTGCGAGATTCGATTCCATAATATTTCGGTGTCGCACGCGAACGCTTAACCTCTAGACCACTGAGTCAGCAGGCATCCAAAGGTGTTAATGTCTAATTTCAACTAATCCACGAAATTGATTACCACATCGATGATTGTCTTCAGTGAGTTACTATCTCACAACAGACCAGGTTCGATTCCATAATAGTTAGTTATGTCTAAATTTTGAAATAAATTACTGTATAAATCTAAAACTACGTAAATTATCAAAAAAATACATTACGAATTTAATAATGAATATATAAGAATATCTTACTTCAGATTGTATAGTATTGCTATGAATTTTTCTTATTATGAATTGATCTTTTTCATAGATTTGAATTATAGCTTCACATGATACATTAAAACAACGTCTAGTTAAATTAGTTTGTTCATCTTTACATAACCATTGAATATGTTTCAATGCATTCATATAACTTAATACACCGGAATTACCATGAATAAGAAATCCATTTGAACGTTGATATATTTTTATATCATTTTTGATATATTTAGGATTTAACAAAATATATTCTGAAATAGACAGAATATTGTCTACAATATTGAATGAATCACTTTTGCATAAATTAATTGTACATGATGAAATTGTTTGCTCAAATTCTGAAGCTAAATAATAAAAAAAAATAATGTGAAATTCTGTTTGACTAATACAGTTTAAATAAATAGCGCACAATTTAAATTGAATGATCTTGAAGAAATTGACGTCAATCTATACCAAAACAAAACTGTTGATAAAACAGTCATCAAAGAAGAATTTTTGTAGATATTATAGTAATTTCATAGTTCAATTCATGAGTCAATTGAAGCTAGACCACCATGGGAAACCTAGAAGCACGGGAAGGCTGTTTCGTCCTACTGTGGCACTCCTCAGCAGTGCGTATCCTGTAGTTCTTGTTAGAAGCAGTAACCAGTGGAATTCAATCAAGTCTTTTGTGAGATAGCAACTCACTGATGACGGTGACGCAACTTCGTCGATTGGTTGAAGTTAGACAATAACACCGTTAGATGCCAGCTGGCTTAGTGGTCTAGAGAATAAGCGCTCGCACGCCAGACCGATAGATTATGGGTTCGAATCTCACGAGGCGGGATCGTGGATGCACATTGCTGAGTAGAAGACAGGCATAAATTTAGAAAAACACGCATTACCAAGGACATATCTTTCAACGGATTTTGGAATAAAGAAAAGAAAACAAGATTTTTCAATTAATTTACATAAATGAAGATTTAGAAAACCCTATCAATGTGACTACAGGCGAAGAGCTATATATATATATATATATATATATATATATATATATATATATATATATATATAGTGTTAACAGAATTTCTATGCAACTAACATTCTGTTCGACTTTACATTTGTGTTATAAAAAGACTTCATTTGTATTAAAATATCATATGTATAATGTGAAGTTTGGATTTAGTCTATAATACAGACTTCAACAAAATATGAGAATATGAAAAAGTAAACAAACAATTGGAATGTTAAAAATGAATTCAGAACAGAATTTCAACAATTTTTATGATTTTGTTTATAAGTGTTTGTATATTCCAGTTATTTTTGTTAAGAACTTCAACTGATCCAGTTTCTATTGGTATCTGTCAGTCTTAAGCGAATCGCCTCGATATTATCACTTAGTCACATGTTTTTTTCGGTGAGATAGTACCTCGCATTAGAATCCAGGATGTATGTTACTTCCTATTTGAGATTTCTTAAGTGGATGTACATGGATCCAAGTGTTGATATTCACATGGGGAATAAAACGCAATAATTTTACTGTAAATTTCAGTGCAGTATCAACTGAGCTACTGAATCCAGACGGATAGACATATCAACAACATGAATATACAAACTCTTACAAATAAAATACACAAATACTGATCAAGCTAATGAATATATAGACTAAGTAGCCCAGTGCATAATGCGTTGAGTGTTTAAAGTAAGAAATAGTAAATTAGATTCTCAATGTACAACGTCAAACGAGAGTGGGAGGTACATTTGTGCATCGGTTCAAGTTGCCGTACCACATAAGTATTGCCAAATGGAGTTATCACGTCTAATCGCAGATTTGTAGAAGTAGTAACGATAGGTGTGTTAGTAGTAACCATTGGGGCATGAATGAATTGATCTAAGAAAAATAGATGAATTTTCAAAATGAAAGGTATATGCATTTTAAATTATGAACTAAATATCTTTACGTCGTTGTGACTGATTTTGAATGAGGTTACGGTCTACGACCCTTCGTTACGATATTTACCACTACTCCACACTGATAGTGTTTATTCATTGATTAGGTTCAATCCAACTTTCAGTAAATTCATAGATTGACACCATATTTTGACACGAGCACCAACAACTTGAACGGTTATGATACCGAGAAATATGCTAATAATAATTCGAATAGGTGTTATGCTCACCGCAAGATCTGGAAGTCCGGGAGTGAATCACCTGTTAGGTGGTAACTATACGCCTTCGATTTATGTCAAACAGCTGTCCGGTGTACCTTCGATTTTCAGCAGTCCTCTCCACCATTATTTATTTATTTATCTAAAAACATAAACATTGGTACAAGGAAGCACCAAATATATATGCGGCACATAAATCATTTGATTTGTGTGAGGGATGGGATACTATCCAGGTGCCCAAACCGAAGCAGGTAGTTTTCTTAGAAGACCACACGCGGAGCCTTCGGCCTAAAGGTCAGGAGATGCAGTCCCATGGTAGTCGGTGACCAACAGTAGGTTCATACACCATTTGTGAACAACTGGTTTGGAATCAGGGTTTTCTAACTCCCCTAGGTGGATTCTTCATACCCACCAACCCGGTTAAAGCTCCAGACATTAGCTTTTCGTCCTCTGAATTTGGTAAACAACAGTAATGCCGTGAGAAGGCTATGAGTAGGACTTCCTTGGCAGTGGTTGTATGCACGTTGCCATGTGAGAGCATTTCGAGAGGGGGAGATGATTCTCCCCACTCTCGGCCATACCAGGGCATTTGGGGGCAAATACCAATTTAACAAAAAGGAATAATTTACGTAAATTATGCAAATAGCATAGTTATGATCTGGAGACAGATTCCCATATTTTTCCCCTATTATGATTATTTAGTAAGAACATACAAAAGTAATTTACATAAACCATTTAGATTAATTTTCTGTCTTATATTTATTGTTTAATGACCAAAATGAGAACATTGATGAATGTTTTTTTAATGAATAAATTGTTATTACAGATTCCTGTTTACATTTTATGTACGATTTGTTTCTCTTAGCATATTAAAAATACATAGATTCCTTTCATCATTGAATCAGTTTGTATGTAAACAGGAATAATGTTGAACTTAAAATTGGACATTCCAAACGGCTCTCTCGATATATATAGGTTAACTAACGGTTATTCTTATAGCTAATGCATTTTTACATATTACTACAGTGATATACAAATGTATTGGTTTATCAATTAATTGATTTCTACAATACATATTGACAGGATGATTATTTTGTTTCTAGGTGAAGGGGGTTGGATATGTTCTTTTTCACTTATCTATAATCATGTAACTGTTTGGAAAAGCTTGTTTTCAACAAGATAAATAATTTGACTTATTTACTAACATGAAAACTGTTTTTATTTTTAAGATCATGAACCGATTGATGTTAGAACACCATTGAAAACCTGGAAACACTAGATAGACGTTTCGTTTAACATCAATTGGTTCATGATCTCAATCAAAAACTTAATAATTTCCACAACCCCATACTGATGAAAACTGTTTTGTCGAGAGATTTATATTAAATGTGGAATTATTAAAATGTAATGAAGTAATGGGAAATTAAAAGTAAATAAATATCCTCATATCTGTGTTTTAGTAAGTTCAGTCCAATGACCCAGTGATCTATAACTACTAGAACTACTATTTCGACTTGTTTTATTTTAATCCTGGTTATTTTCTGTTAATTTGATGATGTACCTGTTTCATAAATTGAGATGTTGCATAATGATACCGAGATAAGCTGTGTATGAGAATCGCCTATCATTAATTAACATATAATTCCCATTTAAGTATTAAAAAACCTAAAGTTCAGCGAAGGGATATATTCTCAACGAATTTATTATTAAGCTCTACTCGGTTTAAAGTAGTTGAAAAATGACTCATTGATGTCTCTTAAACGGTCCTACAAACAGCGGTAACCCAGTGTTTACGTCATTCTACCTTGAAACAGTTGTTCATCCAAATCTCACCTAATTGGGTCATTGGAACATTGAGTAAGTTTTTACATTTAGGGGTTGTGGAGATTTCTGAATTCCATCAAAATTATGAACTGATCTAAGTTGGACTACGATTGAAAACCTGGAAGCACTGGAATGACGTTTCACGTGGACGCCTAACCTCCAAACCACTGATCCGACATCTAACGGTGTTACTGCTTAACTTTAGTCAGTTCACAACATTGCATAATCATCTTCCACTGCCTTCGGTGGGTAGTTGCCTCACACTGAATAGATTGTCCTACACAACAAAACAGTCTCTTAAAGTCACTAAATACGTAAACCAGTGCTTGATTACTGAGTTGTGGTTAGTAAAATCAGATATCAAAGTGATTACTTCAAAATGTGTACACGTTAGTAGTAGTGGAGTTATTGATAGATTAAACAGAGTGGTAAATATAAACGTGACAACATTTTAATGTTCTTGTTCGTAGCAGTTTGTAATTTCTCGTTGTTGACAGTCATGATTAAATCTAATCAGAATATATTCATATACGGGGACCTTGAATGAATGTTTCGATGCAATGACTGCAATCACAAGTTAATTATATGTTTTAGATAGTGTTTAATAATGTCATCTCAGAAGTGAGTTTCGTCCTGTTTGGGGCTTAATAGCTTGATGCACCTTCTTCCTCGAAATGATTTTCTCAATGATGTTTAATCCTAACTATCGTCCCAAAACGAGCAACAAAGGGTATTTAGTCGTGTTGAAATATTGAGCACATAGTACGTCGAAAAAAATAATCTATTATACAAAAAGTCCTCAAATATGATACTATTTCTTCTTACATGTATTATGTGAATTCAACAGTTCCAATGGGGTCTTCCACATGATTGTTATGTATGGAAATATATAGACTCCACTAGATAAACTACTTAATGTGACATTTCTCGATGTGAATGTCTTGTTCATATGTTCATATTGTTCTGTATTAAACAGTACTAGTGAATTGATTGATGATGATGTTGATATTTCATCGAATGACTGACGTATCGATTGGTTTAGTTGAGTAGAAGCTGGTAACTTAATGGTAGACAGTTTTTCAGGGATCTCTTTTTCATGTTTCTGTTCATACTCATGGAATTGTTGTTGTTTTTCTGTCGTTTGATGAACATTTGATTGCTGATAACCGTGACTTGATTGATTATGACTATGGTACCGCCTATGAAGGTATCGATCCGTACGAATATTTGAATTCAATGTATCAAGTAAAATTAATGTTTGTTTAGTTGGAGGTAATGGACTAATTAGAATTACTTGATTAAATGTTGAGGGTATTTCACAATCTGTTGCATATCTATGAATAGATTGAAACAAAATAGCATAAAATAACACTAATAACTGCTTAAATAAGTAATATAGTTATTTAAAATTATGAAACGGTATCACTAGTTCCCTTTTGAAACTTTCCCTAAAAGTTCGGATACATTCAAAATAGATTTATTCAGTCAACATCTTCGGTGAATTTCAGAAGTTAACATATTTATGTTCCTATTGTAATCTGATTGATCATGCACACAAATCACTTCTTATTAGTACCAACCCAATAGTCTAGAAATAGTATATTCAGCAACACCTGAAGATTTATGTTTAGGTCGTAAGTAAGGATTATTAAGTATTTCCATACAGTAGGTTGAAGCAGCGGTTGTGTGCCTTTTGATTTTCAATAGTCGTTCATAAATAAATTCAGTCCTTAGTCAAATGTAAAAGTAGGACAATCTTCTCAAATCTTTTATACTAACAAGTATTCCTTTATATTATTTTTACTCTTCTTTTGATCGATATTTTTTCTTTGCTACCGTGCAATTTGAAATCACTTAGGAATATCACTACACCTTTCTAAAGATAACTGACTGTTTCATGAATAATGTGTTACGATTCAATAATTTAAATAGGAAAATAAATAATTACGCTACAATTCACCTTGATGAAACGAAAATCCGTTAAAGGACACTTTATACCTGCTTCTCACTAATGAGAAAAATCTTCCAAACTACAAAAAGTCAAGGTCTACTAGAACTCATTAGTTAGCGAACAAAAACATAATTTCAATCCGACAATCAAAAAAATTACATTGGACAAAGTGGATGCCTTCTATGTAAAGACACCAACTACTTGTCAAACCCTATAGGGTGTCTTCGTTCACATTAATCCACGTGAACAATTACGGATACACATCTGGCTGAGAAAATGTTGACGGTTTTGATAAAGGGGATATTAAAATGGTCAGGTTATTTTTAGAAGCGTGGTAAAAACCTCAGCTAGCAGTCAATAAATACATCGTGATCGACCTAATTAATCAACTAATAACAAAAATCATGGACAAATATATAAAACAGGGGTCAAGTTAATGAGGGAAGCAATCAAAATTACTTTACATATAACGACAAGGTAAAGGTCAATCAATCAGTGCTAATGATCAAGGCCAACAGTGCAAGCTGCTATTCATATACGGAGAAGTTAGAATATCTCGATTCTTTTAAATCCTAAGCCGATAGAAGTTATACAATCAATGAAACCTGAAAGCACTAGACGAACGTTTCCTTCTGGTATGGAACTCATTATAATTGCGTATCAACGATCCCGCACGAGGGAACCGAACCCAGGATCTGCGATCTCCAGTGCAAACGTCTAGCTTCTAAACCACTGAGCTACCATTCAACGGTGTAGGGGGTGACTGGTTGAAGTTAAACAAGTACACTCACAGGATCCATCGAAGACAATAAAAAATGTTTGCGTAATATCCTGAACTAATCGAATTTAGACACATACTGTCAGATGATGGTTCAGTGGTTTAGAGGTTAAGGGTTACATGAACGACTGATTTCCTGGATACCTGTTTCCCTGGCGAGGTTATAGATGAGTGCTACTGAGGAGTCCCACACAGGGACGAAATCTCTGTCCAGTGCTTCCAGTTTTCGATGGTTCTCTAACTTTGGTCAATTCGTGATTTTAGTGGAATCTAACAACCTCCATAATAGCATAATGATGACAGTCTCAATTCAACTTAAAATTTACGCTGATGATATTGTACAGAAGAACAATCAAAGTTCTACGATTAAACCAATTCTCTGAGAGAACGAAACTCCACCAAAAATTAAAGAACACTATATATCCCGATGTCTGCATAAATTACTTACGCAAACAAAGTATTTAATTGTATAGCCACTGGTTCCGGTCGATATCGTGGTTTATATTGTAATCTTGGATTGTAAAATGTCACATTTCTTAGAATTTTCGATAATTCATTTAAACTTTTAGCTTGAATAATGATACTATTCAAATGAGAATTACGAATATTTGTTGTATCGAAACGATTAGTGTTTGAACTGAATGATGTTGGATCGTTGATAATTAGACGTGGTTCACAGTTGGTCAGACAAAGTATTTCCTCATCTGATTGAATATATCCATTTGTAAAGGTTAAACCAGCAAGATAACCCTTGTTTATGTATTTACAATGGTGAAAATAAGACAGTATGTGCATCAATAGCATTCAGTAATAATAATAATAATAATAATAATAATAATAATAAACGTAACTACGTTCGCCATCGTGAAAGTAGGACCATTATTTCACTGATTAACAAGTGACCTACATAATCCTTTTTACTAGAAATCGCTTATTTTTGAATGAGTATTATCGTGTTGCCAGAAAACCACTGAAGATATTAGGCTTTTTTTTCATTTGTTTCATCGAAGAGCCGTGTATTGTCAAGATGTTTCAAACCGGAATAGAATAATAATCTGTTGTTGTCCGGCTAATTTAGTGTATGTTGCATATTACTTTTATATCATTAATACAACACTCATGATGATCTAATAGAACTTTATCGGGTGAACTAAGATTAGAGAGGAAATTATATAGCTAACTCCATCACAATATCATAGTAACAAAGAATTTCCCTTTGATAAGCAGCATTTTAAGTGATATTGTTTTTCTATAATCAAAAAGAGAGATTATATAATGTTGATACTGTGAACAATGCCTCTTCCCTTGCCCCAAAAGTTTACGATGGTAACAATAGAGTGAATAAAATTATGGCGCTATTCACGTTTTTTCGCCAGTTTTTGTCCATACGTAACCGGTGCTAGAGAATTTAGTTTACAGAATAATGATTCTGAAAGTTCATTAGTTTCGCATGAATGATTTCAACATACTTTTCTTCCTTAACCCTTTATTTCAGACTGTCAGCGAACATTATCGTTGCATTTTGAAGAAAACGAACAACCACTACTGAATACGTCGAGCCAAGCATACATAGTTTATGTTCCACTAAACATCTACCTACTTCTTTCTCTTTCAACATACTTGATTATCAAATTTTGGAATCAAGTTCGACAAAGTAATTTTTTCACTACATTAATTCGATTTGTAGGAAATTGAGTTGATGTCTGGTTATGCCAGTTTCTACGTTGTTGATCATGTACTGACTGCATCAAGCAATGAAAATAATCCAATAGATTTTGAAAAACAATAATAATGACAAAAAAAGACTTACGACAAAATGTTGAGCGAATTGAGCACTACGTCCATGCCAACAAGCGCCAACTGAAGTACGAACAAATTCATGATTTTTAACAGATAAATGTACCATAGGCATATTTTCAGCAATTTGCACCAGTTCAGGATTATTTGGTACTAATCTTCCATCCAAATATAATTGTAACTAAATAAACAACAGAGAAGATATTATGGCAGTGATAATGACTAATAGTTTCATCATTTCCCAAAAGCATATATATATATATATATATATATATATATATATATATATATCAGTCAACTACAACGTAGGACCAGGCATATATATGCACCGATCCAAGTTGCCATACCTCATTAGCACAACAAGATGAACACCAAATTCATTGAAACAGTCACTTCAATGGTAGTAATGCGCAATAGATTGTTTATAAGGTTATAGTACACAAAGAAAGAATTAGAAATGTGTAAAATAATTTTAATCTCACAGTTTAAGGGAAGATAAAGAGTATATACACTGACGTCATTGTGGTCGATTCTGAGCCATGTCACACAGAGTCTCCGACCATTGTTTACGACAGTCGCGCAGACCCCAATGATGAAGTAGCCTGCATTCGTAATTAACGCGGCCTGCTTGAGCATCAGGGCTACCTGTTACTGCCTTCTAGATATTTCAACAAGTTATTTATTTTTGTTTGTTTTAATATATCATTATGTCTATTAATCGCATAACCTATTCTGCTGCGTTTCTGAAAAGTGTACAACCTTTCGTTGTCAAAGTTACAAAAAGCTCAAAAAGAGAGAATGTTGTTGCTGGCAATATACAACGAAAAGCATGTACATTATTCAGATGTTCATTTACTGGACTGCTAACATCTAACTGGCGATCACTCAATATTTTTTGCGAGGACCGACCAAGAAGAAAGAAACGGAAACTTGTTGAAATACTTTGTGCTGAGAATTCTATATTGTACCAATAATATAATATTGAATAAAGCTAATAATAATAATAATAATAATACCAACATGGCTCAGACCAGAAGCTAGTAACTTCAATGACTGATGCCACGTTTTGACTTGGCTGACTTTAACTTTTTTCTAGCCGTCTCCAACAACAGTTAGCATTGTGTTTCGTGGTGATCGGTGTTCAGGCATACGAAACAGGTGGCCCAACCATCTTAGTCGATATATATATATATGATAGATTAACTCTAGAGTTCTTTAGGAATGGTGATTTGGTGTTAGTAGTTGAGCTAACCAAAACATTAGCTAAGGTCTGAAAGAAGGATGTAATCTGAGTGGTCTTGATTGATGATAGTCTCAGTCTATATCAAAGGATCAAGAAGCCTTTGTAACAGATACGGAATGGTTATTTTGACTAAACTAATGCGGTACCCAAATGTTAATCTATATAATCAGTCAACACCAAATGGTAGTCAAGGTGACCAAACCTGTATGAAACAAGCTGTTTTATGACCTATGAGAGGATGTATTGACTAAATTTGTAAATTTTGACAGGTCTTAAAACAAAAACACATACCAACACCCGAATGTAATCTTGTTTGCCAAGGTAATCCCGGCATTTCGCTCCGTTGATCGGGGAGTTTTTGATAGCACTTGTAACTTAAGGATGCATCAGAGAGATATGTAAGATTTTTAAAGCCTCTTCGCTAAAACACAATTGTTGTTTTACAGCTTGTGGAAAACTGCCATTTAAGTTGGAAACCACAAGTGTATACTCTCCTCATACATTGGGAATGTGTAAATAATAGCGTCCTGTTAGTCGAAAGCTCTATAAAAACACCGATGTCTGGTGAGGTATTAGCACGGGTTAAGTAGGGTCAGTTGGTTTTTGTTGATTTAGATCACATTTATGGAAGAGATGCTGGTTTTCCAACCAAAAGATAAGTATATCGTTTAGTGGTCTGTTATATGTTTCTGTATGGCTGTGAAACATAGTTCATAGAAGAAGAGAAACATAGACTAAAAGTAATTGACCACAGATGTATTCGAGACCATGCTTCTATTTTATGGTACGATTAGGTGAACAATGTTAAATTTAGACATAAGCTACTAGTGAAATATTTAAATTTAATTATTGAGGTTGTGGACCTTCATCAAGTAAGTTGGCTGGAACTTTATTACATATGCTTAACCACCACCTACGTCTACATGTTATGCCTGTTGGTGTAGGAGTAGGTTAACAAAAAACTAGAAATGGACAAAGCACCAAATGACATTTGTTAATGAAAGCTCAGACTGTTAGGTGAGCCGTATTTAAAGATGCAAACTACCTATTTAGGGTCATTTAATAACTTCGATTAGTTGGTTGGAGATTTTCGAATAGCATAGTTCAAACTCAATCACGGTGGAGTAGATACATGCATTCTCCAACATTAATTCACACTATTTATTAGTTGGATGAATCTCTTCTCTTCGAACCGCATTCTCCTATATCCAGTCAATATTGTTGATATCAATATTATCTGAATTACTTTGAGGTAAGTGACAACCTGGGCTGATTCACTTTCGCGTCGCCTTCTATGTGGATAATAACTCATTGACTGATTTTACATGGATCATCCATTTACTCAGTATCATTTGTTTGGTTACAGTAAATAATTATCGATATAAATATAACAATATGACAACCTATTCTTATTGTTTATTCGTTTAACTCGTAAGTGCTCACAATAAATCTATTTAAATAGTGATTGGTGGCAAATACTCTTCTTATATAAATGTTTACAACTAATTTTGTTCCTATGACACATTTTACATTACATAATGCATATTTAATGAATGAGACTTAATGTAGTAGCATCTTATTTGTTTAAAGAACGCAGAAGAAAGAAAATATACTAAACAATTTGGCAGTTCCGTTAAACTGTTGTAATATTTAGCTTCGTATCACGAAGCTTGTAAGTTTTTACATATGCGTTAAACCAATTGACATAATGGGGCAGTTAAGATACATAATTAATTAGTCAAGGTATATCTTAGCAGATGAAAGATGTTTTACAAGATTTTCGCTGTAGAAAAATAGATAATATAAAGATTTGATCAGTCTACCAGGACATTTTGTAATACAGAACTTCAAAACAGTCCACTCTTTTCACATGATGAAATACATGACAAAACTGATACATTCTGATCTACCTACAATCAGGAACTACTCATAATGCGTCAGTAATTTGACCTGTTACATCCATTGAAGATTAAATACATGGTACCTTCTAGGAATTATTTATGGACTGTTATTACATATATTATTGTATAAATATTACGTAACTAGGTGAAATGTGTTTATATTTCTTTTATCATAAGCTTTCATTTGACACATTAACTGCTAATATGCGATTTACCACTTGATTTATTCCCATTCCATTAGTAATAGTCTTCTATATCGCAGCCACGTTTGGCTTGATCTTGTAGAATTGTTATTTTTCATGTGATGATGTGATGCAGCCTGATCTGCTTGTATATTAACTATGTATGTCTGAAATATATGGTTCATACATAACGGGGGTTGATATTGTGTTCCGAACTCAACAGACGAGGAAAGAGGAGAATTAATGTATCGAGGACTGATAGTGTTTTAGAGTTGAATCAAGGCTATCAGTGCTAGTTGGAGAGTTATTAGTTAGCTCATAGACAACATCATGGAAGTCGACCTTCTGATTGGCGGTTTTTGTCACGTGATGAGGACATGGCAATAAGTCACAACATGATCAAGGTTACCAAAATGAATGTGATAACTGAGCGAACAATTTTGTATCTTATATTGAAAGACGAACTCGATGGTATATAAACATTAAACATTCAAGGTTCCGATTAGCACATCCGAGTGGTTTTCGTAACGGTGTAATTAATAACAGTTCGGCTAGGATTAACTACTGTAAACTAAAAGGTAGTAAATAAATATTTTTATTCTAATCCAAGACTCTTCGTTATTTCATATGTATAACTTAATCAAAGATAGAAATCACGAGTTTCATCTCCAAGAGGGAGCACTTAACCTATAAAGCATTGTGTCGTTATACAATATTTCATATTCCCAAACTACAGAGAATCCAAGTTAAAGACGATATAAGCTCCGATAAATGACCTTAGAAGATCACTATACTAAGTAACTACCTAAAATTATAACAAAGAGTAGTGGTCCAGTAATAAACAGGTGTATGACCAAAAATAGAGATGAAGTTCTTGAAAAAATCTTAATGATTATCCATTTATCTATGTTGACACAAGAATCATGTATCATCTTGTGTAATTGGGTTATCCACTTATAAAAAGTAAAATATTTGGTTGTGATAATTTTACACATAAGTTCCTGAAAGTTAGACGAACTGATGAAAAAAACTATTTTGTTTATCAGAAAATAAGTTAAAACTATTTGACTTTTTCAGCCGAAACACTCCAATGAGATTCATAATCCATTATTAAATACGAATTGATTTATTAACTAAAAATTTTAACAATCATCAACTGTTTAGTAGTAACTAATGTCGTAGTTATCATTACCATTGTGTTACTATTATTGTATCCGTGTAGTCACTTCGTTAAGTAATTCACTGGTATGATCGAATCAGTAGGAGTCCATGCATTTTCGTTCTATCCCACTGACTAATAGTCAACAGGACATATATGTAAATTTGAGAGCAATGATCCTCTGACATAGCACTTACACTTGTGTTAATCGATGATCTAGTCAGAGACTGTCAAGTCTCAAGCAACCTGCAAACTTAATAATGAGTTGTAATCAATTATGTGCTTGTGCACTCGGTAGTAGTGTTGATGCACTCACATCAGTCAGTTTACTTCAAGATTCTACATAATTCTAGTTGAAGAATACTAATGCAAAGAAACCTAAATATTTAGTTGTTACAATACAACTGATACAGATTATCGCTTCACAAATCGATAAAGTCTTCCTTCCATAACAGTTAACTTCTGTTGTATTCAAACTTTTAGTCACGGTGATTTCATGTCTAACCGATTTCGGGATCAAAGATTATAACCCTGTTCAGATGGGAAAATCAACCAAAATGAAAGGAATACTCGATGAAAAACGAACACAATATACTGACTTCAATATCACTTTCTGAGTTGGATGCAAGTGTCTTTTGTCCATTTACAAGTGTCGTTTCTGGTGGACGATAGGTCAACGAATAATGGTGCCAATTCGAATCGCATACTTCGTCGACATCGAAACGCCATTGAGATGGAAGTAATTGAGACGAATCAGAATATAGGGTGGATTCATTGGTTGGTTCACGACGTATCAATACAACCAGTTTACAATTGTGCAGAAACACAGCAAAATGATGCCGATTCTTTTCTTCAACACAATAATAATAATAATTATGATTATAATTATAATAACAATAGTATCTATTAGTCCAATGATATCGTTTTTACAATAAGTGGTTTTAAGAGGGAATGAAATCGCATTTGTGCTAGCAAATCAGTTGACCAATGTTTGAGCGAACTTAAAAAAATTGATGCCGACTAGCATGGTTGAGACCAGCCACAACTCTTTCAACGTTAATTCAGTATGTTGTATTCAGCACTCGCGGTGATTTTCAGTTCACATATGTATTATAAATGTTGGAGTTTGAAATGTAGTCTGTGGTGAAAATCATATTCCGATTTATAGTATTCATCCATCCTCGAAATGAACGAAAACACGACCCAAAGTGCCGGAAACAACACACCGATTGATTTATGATATCCAGTTTTGAAAGTCAGTTTTCGGAGTCTCTATTTTGGGAGTATGCTACAGTTTCACTATAGTGAATAATTTAAAGTGCGACCTGTCTAACTGATAGTCAGGGTTATAACAATGATTTTCAAAGAATCTTATGGAGAAAGAACGGGTACAGTTTTACAAATGTAGTAGTCTTTTCCACCAAGAAAAATCAAATTTACAACCGCACATTGTAGCGAAATATGTCTCTCACCAATGAAGACATAAAAGAGTTATACGTGATTCCTCTCAACGGTCCCGACAAGTATGAAACAATAGGTCAATATTTGTTCCATGTTCGATAAACTAGGAAAACAATAGAAGGAATTAAACAATCTAACTTGACATGGTCATTAAATGTGTCTGTGGAGGTCATCGTTTGTATATTGATTTCATAATTCCTGTTTTATGCAAAATAAAATCGCATAATGTTTTGATGTACAATGAACTTCTAAAAGCTTATTATTTGTCTGCAAAAGTTATTGTCATACTGGATGATGAAAGAATATTACAAAATAACATATACATTAAAATTTTTATCAACATAATGAAAAAATATAATTTAGTGATGATAGAGATTATATTCTATTAGCTGGATGATTTAATTGTGTCGCTTTAAATGCTGTCCAAAAAAGCATTCTCATCATCATCATCAACTTCTTTAAACAACCGCTAAAGATATGGTGTAATGGAACTATTCAGCTCATAGAATACAATATTAACCTAACAATCCACAAAATATAAAGTAGCAGGTAATTAATGATTCTTCAACTGATCATAGTTTGTATTTAAAGTTGTATTCGACAAAAAGAAATATTCACTATTTTGTATTATTCACTTGTAATCTAAATTCAAAAGGGAAATAATAATAAAACAAACAATAACGAAAGAGGGGTTTCGTAGATATTATAGTAATTTAGTAGTTGAATTTATGGGTCAATTGAAGCCACTAGGTTTTCCATGGTGATCTAGCTCACTAGTGACTAGTTACATGAGGGTATTCTCGGAGTTCTAGCAAGAATCCGTGACCAGTAGAGCTAATCCATATCAGGTAGAGACAGGTATCTACCTCAGCACAATGGAAGATGGTCGCACAATTTCGTGGATTAGTTGAAGTTAGACATTAACACTGCTGGATGCCGGCTGGTTCAATAGTCTAGACATTAAGTGTTCACGCGCAAGACTGATAGGTTCTTGGGTTCGAATCCTGCAAGGCAGGATCGTGGATGCGCACTGCCTAGGAGGAGTTCCACACTAGAACAAAACGGCCATTCAGTGCTTCCAGATATTCAATGGTTGTCTAAAATCAATCAATTCATGATCTCAATCAATTATTAAAACAATAACAATAACAGCTACTTACCATATTCATCGGAACTGCATAAAATATTCTCCCGATTATTCAGTAAATTCTTCTCATTATATTGTTTATTAAATATTGGTGAATGTTTCATCCAAAAATTGATTGTAAATAATTGATTATCAAATCGTTGTAATTTATGAAATTTATGAAATTTGTTTAAATCAAAATGCATGGAACCATTAAAATAATAAATACCAGATGGATAACCTTTTTTATTGATTTTGGGCAATTCATTTAATCCTTGAATGGTTTCAATAATCGGTAAATTGATATGATTATTTTGATTAAATTGTTGTTGTTCATCAATATCTGGTAATAGATCGATAGTTTTACTTTGAGAAGAATCGACTGAAAAAAACAAAACAACACGACTCTAGATGGTGAATATGTGCAATGATACTAGGCTACAGAATATATCATTTCGATTGATTTCGAACCATGATAATATCCAATGGTTTCAGCCATTATTGATTAAGATACTTAGTGTTAAGATTTATATCTTCGTATATTATTAAGATCGGGCATCAATGATCTCAATACATTGTTGGCATATTTTGTTTTAACTGATTTTACACTTTTTTCTAACTTACTCCCAGTATAGTTATTGTTTAAGTCCTTTGAAATAAGCGATGACTGGGCATTCATGGTACATTAATAAATTTAGTTTAATATTTTCATTGGTTAATTTGTTATTTTGACCAAATTGATAGTTTGATAGTAAGAGAGGAATGGTTCCAAGTTATCTGTGATTGAATACGGGCAACGTATCAAAGTACTAAAACTTCGAGATCCATCGTTTACAACCATAGGTAGTTAAAATGGACTGCTGTGCACTATCCTGAGTAAAATCTGACCCAGAACTTCACGTAGTTCTTGGGGGAGGGGTATAGGATTGTGCATCATTAACCAGTTTGGGAAGTCGATAGATATCGGTCTAAACAATCACTATCGTGAAAATAAATCCAAAAATCAGGTTTTAACTCGTGCTGGACAATAAAGGGTGTAGCACTTATGAATATGTATGGGTTTTGACGGTAATATGTTGATTTGATTCGTATCTTTCAGATTTATAGAGTGCATATTTGGACAAAAAAGAAACGTTACATGGACCGTATTCATGCTAATATGTATAATGAGAGTACATGAGTTTCTGATCTGTGCATTTCAAATTCTCATTTTTTGTGTAGTCGGATAACTAAAATTTAACACTAATGGGCAACAAATAAAAGGGAAGCGGAGCTAATCCTCCCCTTCTAAAGTGGCATATATGTTTAAGTCAATTTTATTTGTGTAACTCATGTGTGTATGCAATGTATACTTGTCACAAAGATCGGTTTCAAACTGTCTTCTTAAACTGAGTAGCAAATATCAAAATAACCGTAAAATCTTAACAGTTGTCCCTATGGTGTTCGTAATCGATTTCCGCTTGAAACATACATCCTAGCTCAGGTATGTCGGCCCGTATGAACATAAAAACTTGTCCAGGCACTATAACTTCCGATCAATAAACAGATGAATGCCTTTACTGAGTTACGAATATTAAAAGTTCGTAAGAGGCAAAAAATATTAGATAGTTGGGACTGGACACCACCAAATGACGATCTTTGTATACAGAAAGATAAATTACATAAACTTTATTTTAGTTAGTTATAGATAGTTACTAAATCATAGATTATATTGTAAAGAGATTGAACTCTCCAACATAAACTAAGTAGACTATAATCTCTTGGTTCAGTTAAAAAAATGCATTGATTTTTATAGGTATGTACAGTCTTAGGGAGTCTTAAGATTGAACCGAAGATGCTTTTCAATTTTAAATAATTCAGAACTGAAATCTATAACTACCACTTTTAGCGATGAGAGTTCTAATTCCCCCCAAAATTAATTAAAAATTACTCAGTAATTAAAATATTTGGAAATACGAAGTGCCTCAATCCATGACATCCAATACGGATACAACACTCGAAATATGCTTGTCCAACTAGTTATGTGAGTGAGCAGATTGAGAAATGGCTAGGAATAATTAAATATATAAATCCTTAACGTTCATATATTTGTTCTTTTGAGCATAACAAAGATATGTACACTATAACTCTGAAGAAGAGCACAATCGAAGTCCTTTTATAAAGTGGCCTCGTCTGAAACTTCTCACCTAACATTTGACCTTAGGCTAGTATGTGAAAACAAATGTATAATCACGAATTACAGATTATGTACTGTACTATTCGGAAGTTTTAATCTAAGACGTCCAAAGTTATCTATAATTCGATGGTTTATAGTTGTTCACCAACTGATACTATCTTGTAATGAAAATAATAAACTCTCTACAAAAAAAATCAATTGAAAATATACATAAACCAAGTAACAATTACTTACTGCATGTTTTACGATTAGCCATTATTGAATAATAATCCAAATCACATTCTGAAGAAGAAGATTCTATTGTTGTTGTTGCTGCTGATAATGATGAAGATGGTTGAATAGTTTGATCATCATTTATAATAATATCTTCTTTACTCCATAAAATTTTCATACGTATTGTTACTTGTTCTATTGGACAATAATCATATTCAGTGATTCCTTCACTTAAATGATCAGAGCTATCATTCATTGTATCATCATTATCAGTATTAATAAGATGAGTAAAATTATTATTGATTTGTGGACATATTAAAAATTTCGCATTCAATGCAAATGGATATGGATTTGATAATGCAGAATACTCAATTTCTTTAGGGATACCTAAAAGTAAATTTTAAAAAAATTGATAAGAAATGAGAAGATGAATTTTACTCCAGATAGTCGTCTATCATGAAATTCCATTGTGAAATTAACATGATTTAAACAGTGTATCCCCGACAATATACCAGCTGAAGCACTGAAGTCAGACATCAAAGTAACTACAAACATGCTTCACTTTCTATTCAAAAAGATTTGGAAGGAGGAAAAAGTGTCGATGGACAGGAAAGAAGGACACCTCATCAAGATTCCAAAGAAAGGAGACCTGAGCAAATGTGAAAACTACAGATACGGATACCATCAACAACAGCCTTTTGTAGGAGTCAGTCAGTCAGTCAGTCAGTAACAACGTAGAACTTCGTACGTACGTACATCAGTTCGAGTTGCCACACCACATTAGCACAGAGATGCAGTTGTCGATTCAAATCCCGTAGTGGTAGAGGTAGCAAGAGTATAAGCAGTAATCGGGAAGATTAGGGTTTGGAGATGTTATTTAAAGAGTATAATCCAGTGAAATAAATTTGGAAAGAGGAAAAAAGGGACATGAAGAATTCAGAAGATTAGAATTTGGGAGAACACAGAGAGTGGATGCACCTGCGCCATTGCAAACGATTTTGAGCCATGTCATTCAGGGTCTCTAACCATCGGTTGCTATCATCTCGCGGTCCCCAACCAGGTAGTCTACACCTACCAACATGACTCAGTTCACTTGTCAGTGACTTCATGGACTTGTGCCATGTTTTGGTTTGGCCGCCCCTAGCTTTCTTCCAACCTACTCCTATACCACTGAACATAGCACGTCGAGGCAGTCGGTCGTTGGGCATACGTAACACGTGTCCCAGCCATCTCAACTGATGAAGTTTCACTACTTCATCAATTGATTTGCCATCCTTACCTAGTACCCGTTTCCTAACAACTGTGTTACTTACTCGATGGTCCCATGATATACGAGCAATGTTTCGAAGACACCTATGATCAAATACTAGTAACCTACGAATATCCTCTACTCTTACCGGCCATGTTTCACTGCCATAAAGTAGGACGGAACGAACTGCTGCGCAGTAAACACGTCCTTTGGTTGATAGACGGATATCTCGCCTACGCCATAAATGACGCAAGTTGGCAAAAGCTAGTCGAGCCTTCTGTATCCGTGCTGAGATTTCGTCACACACCAAACCACAAGGGCTGATGAGACTTCCAAGATAAGTGAAGCGGTCGACACACTCAACTACTTCACTCCCTATCACTAGTTCGGGTGTCGATGTAACCCAATCCTGAAGCAACATTTTGCATTTCGAGGGAGAGAATCGCATCCCGAACATGCTTGCATTGTTGCTTAGAGTGGTCAGAAGACTCTGCATTTTGTCAGCGTCTTCACCAAATAAAACTATGTCATCAGCATATTCTAAGTCAACAAGTGAACCTCCCGGTAGAAGTTCAACCCCTGGAAATTTAGATGAGGAGAGTGTTATCTCTAAAAGTACGTCGACCACAAAGTTGAACAAGAATGGGGAGAGTGGACAGCCCTGACGAACACCACTTGAGGTAATCAATTCTGATGACAGTTCGCCATAAGCTCTCACTCTACCAGTTGTGTTCGAGTAGAGAGCCTTTATAAGGTTAATGTACTTCTTTGGTACTCCTTTCAGTGACAAACACTGCCATAGAACCTCACGATCAACAGAGTCGAATGCCGCCTTAAGGTCGAGAAATACTACCATTGTGGGGCGTCTGAATGTGTGTCTGTGTTCTAGAACCTGACGTAGTGTGAATATCTGATCTATACAACCACGTCCAGGTCGAAAACCGGCCTGGTTTTCTCTAATCTGCTCTTCACGAGCTTTGATTAGGCGTCGAAGTATTATTGAAGCTAATATTTTAGACACTATATTAGTCAAACTGATTCCTCTGTGATTGTCACAAGAGGACTTTTGTCCTTTCTTATAGACTGGCACAATCAGTGATTGAGACCAGTCAGATGGGATTACGTCCAGTTCCCAAATTCTACCTAAGACCTCGGTTAATCTCATTGCTAATACTGGACCACCATCCTTAAAAATCTCAGGAGTAAACCTGTCAGGGCCTGCTGCTCTCCCTCGTTTCAGATTTCCTATGGCTTTTTCAACTTCGTAAAGGGACGGAGGACCTACATTAACTTGCCATTCAGGTTGACTGGAGATCGTGGGAAACCGAAGTGTGGCTGAAGGCCAGTTGAACTGATCCCTAAAGTGTTCTGCCCATCGATCCAATCTCCTGGATTGAGAATGAATAATATGTCCATCTTTCTCTGAGATTGTTTCGCTAACGGTCGGGTTCCTAATTCCGGTTTCCTTAACGAGTCTGAACAATTGTCTGCTATTACCTATTGCCGCTGCCTTTTCCATCTCTCTTGCTTTCGCTACCCACCACTGTTCGCGATCATTGCGTAGACTTCTTGTCAGCTTGCGCTTAAGCTGACTTTTGTAGGAGAGAACAATCTAGCTTCCAGCTCAAGAGGAAATTAGGAAAAGACGATGGAAGTTGATAGGACATACACTACGCAAATCGTCAAACTGCATCACGAGACAAGTACTAACTTGGAATCCTGAAGGAAGGCGGAAAAGAGGAAGGCCAAAGAACACATTACGTCGGGAAATAAAAGCAGATATGGAAAGGATGAATAACAACTGTAAGGAGCTGGAGAGGATTGCCGAGGACAGGGTTGGATGGCGAATGCTGGTGAGCGGCCTATGTTCCTTCACGAGGAGTGACAGGCGTAAGTAAGTAAGTAAACTGTGTATCATCCATCAGAATCATTTTGTTTTGGTTTATTAGTGCAAAAAGGAAACATACTCACATATGGTAGATTATTATAAGGAAACAATACGCAACTACCACAATATTATTAATCTCTGCTACTTTTAGATTTGATGTCAATAATAATGAGGGTTATGTAACCGATTTTATATTATTTCTTAAAATTGTAATGATGATTACAATAGTTGTGAAATCTATCATTGACTCATGATTTCAACCTGTGAAATTTCTAAAAATCTCCACAAAACCCATTCTGATAATAATCAACTGCTCCCTAGTGACTGACTTCAGGAGATACTCCTGGAGTTCTAGTGAGAAGCCGTTACCAGTGGAGTTCAACCAGGTCTGTTGTGAGATATCAGCTCACTGAAGACAATGGTGTACGGTGGCGCAACTTCGTGGATTGGTTAGAGTTAGACATTAAAACTGTTGGATGCCGGCTGTCTCAGTGGTCTAATGTTTAAGTGCTCGTGCGCGAACCCAGTAGGCCCTGGGTTCGAATCTCGCGGGACGCGGGATAATGGATGCGCACTGCTGAGGAGTCCCATACCAGGACGAAACGGCCGTCCAGTGCTCCCAGGTTTTCCATGGTGGTCTAGCTTCAATTGACTCATGATTTCAACCTGTGAAATTTCTAAAAATCTCCACAAAAGCCATTCTGATAATCAGTTATTAATTGCTTTAACTTTATCACTTCGGATCGGTAAATTACAAATAATCATTTAAATAGAAGAAGAGATTTAGTGAATGGTAAAGAGTAAAAGGATGGAAAAAAGTAAATACAAAGCACAAAGAAACAGTTTGTAATTTAATAATTGAATTCATGAGTTAATTGAAGCTAGACAACTATGGAAAACGTGGAAGCACTGGAAGGCCGTTTCGTCCTATCGTATGACTCCTCAGCAATGCACATTCACGATATTCGAACCCGGGACCTATCAGTCCCGCGTGCGATTGCTTAACAACTAGACCAATGAGCCGGCATCCAACGGTATTATAGTCTAACTTCAACCAATCCACGAAGGTTTACATTACATTTATTGACTCAAATTTATAATTTTGTAAACTATAGGGTAGTTATTGTTACTGATTATAAAACTGGATAAAAACGGTTGTGTTATACAAGATTCAGTAAGTATTGAAGCGTCTACAAAAATCACCTTAGAAATAATTACCAGATTATTGAGTTTGAAATCACTTTGACGTACATTATCCAAATACCATTTAATGTAACCAGCTTTCTGTACAGTAGTTCAAACTAAAGTGCAATATTTCAGTTTTTTTTAGGAAAAACTCACGACCAATTTTACTGTTATTAGTAAGTATTATATACTACCTGGATTCAGTAAGTCAGGGGTTAATGTGTTAGTGGTTAATGAGAGGGGTAATGGGTTTGAGTCCCAATACAGAAATAAACACTGGGACTCATATACACTCAGCTGACAAGTCTTATATAAGACAAAACATATGATGTGGATCTCACTCTCAGAAGATTTTCACGTTCATTTACAATCACGTAGTCTGACAATTAAAATAAGTAGATAAACGTTAAAAGTGAGCATAAGTCGTAGATATATTCATTTGATCATTTGTAATGTTGTATATACACTCAAGCTATTGGAATAAAGCAAATATCTAATCACTAAAACAGTAAAGCGTCAAAAACAATAGGTATCATATAATATATTTCGATATAAGGCGAAATGAAATAAACGGGATACAAGTAGACATTAGAAAACTAAAAGCATGAATCAACTAGGTGAGCTAATATGGGTGTGTGTGTGTGTGTGTGATTATATTAAGTTAAGAAGCACAGTTATTCGTGAACATACACAAATATTTAGAGGAAACAAAATTCAATTAGCTTGTAGTATAGTACAAGTATCAATATGTAACATTTGTGTTTTTTTTGTTGTTGAAAATACTGAAGTTTCCTTTCTACGTACATAAACTTACACACATAAATAGATAAATGTTTCATCTTTTCTTTCTACAGTTCTATTCCATTAAAATACTATTACGATATAATAACCAGACAACGGCGACTAGAGATATACAACAAAGATTCGTACACATTCATACACACACTGATACACCTATATTATTCACGGTTAAGTAATTTTTCTATACAGAATTTTTATGCAATAAACCTACAGTAAGTAGGCTATCCATTTAAACAATGTTAAATGGAAGAGTAGGAGTGAGGGGGAGAGAGAGAGATTAGGTAACTATTGACAAAGGAAATGAATATTTCATTTTTTGTCTTTAGTAGTGTATGGGAGATGGAATGTTGACGGTAAAAACTCAATTAATCGGGGAAATTATTCACAAAATAGTACATACTACTACTACTACTGATAATAATAATAATAATAATAATAATAATAATAATAATAATAATAATAATTGTCGCTTCAGTCAATACTGAATAATTAGAACAATATGTAACTTTCAGCCCATAAAGTAGTTTTTCGGTAGGAAAATAGTATGTATGTAGTTACAATTTACATTAATAGATTGGAAACATTTTAATTTGATGTATAAAAAATGTTGAATAGGCGTATAAGATCATTTGGAGTTCAAAGACTGATTAAGAAGCAGTACTGTAACGTAAGCAGACATGGACTAAAGGTATTGTACATTTAATGTGAGATCGAAAGAACTTAAAAATAATTGGACTAGCATAATCGGCAACGTTTTCAACGGCAAACTTTGATATTGTTTCCAGGGTTTACGATAGAATAATAAGCTTGTGGAAATTCACTGTACATTAAAACATTCAGCGATTTTAATTACATGTTTGAAAAAAATATTGTGCAGAAAACAGAAATTACGAAGTAAATATACAAACTGTGACTTCCACAGACACATTCAGTATATTGTGATCGTTTTTCAACGAGTATTCCTTTCATTTTGGTTGATTTTCCCATCTGAACAGGATTACAAACTTTGATCCCGAAATCGGTTAGACATGAAATCACCGTGACTAAAAGTTTGAATACAACAGAAGTTAACTGTTATGGAAGGAAGACTTTATCGATTTGTGAAGCGATACTCTGTATCAGTTTTATTGTAACAACTAAATATTTAGGTTTCTTTGCATTAGTATTCTTCAACTAGAATTATGTAGAATCTTGAAGCAGACTGACTGATGTGAGTGCATCAACACAACTACTGAGTGTACAAGCACATAATTGATTACTACTCATGAATAAGTTTGCAGGTTGCTTGAGACTTGACAGTCTCTGACTAGATCATCGATTAACACAAGTGTAAATGCAATGTCAGAGGATCATTGCTCTCAAGTTTACATATATGTCCTGTTGACTATTAGTCAGTGGGATAGAACGAAAATGCATGGACTCATACTGATTCGGTCATACCAGTGAATTACTTAGCGAAGTGACTACACTGATACAATAATAATAACACAATGGTAATGATAACTACGACATTGGTAATACTGAACAGTTGAATGTTATTAATTAACTGACTGATAAGTAGATTATGAAGCAAATAGAATATCATAGTACAAACTAATGTTTAAGTTTCATTCCACATTTAATTATGTCATCCAGAGTAATTTGTAAAACTAATTTTTCTACCTGATATCAATAAGAGAAAATGGTGGGACTATAATTTATGGACGAACCAATCAGGTGTAAGTTAACAGGTCTCGGAGTTTGTCGCGAAATTCACTCATCCATTTGGCAAAATGGAATTTCGGCATTATTACTTATTTCAGTTCGTAATGAAAACCCTTAATGTAATTCCTAACCCAAACGATCAACTGTAAATCATAATTCTAATTTCTCACATTGGTTTAAAACCCCCATTTGGTCCTAGTTATAGGATGGACACACTCAACGTTACTTTAGCGTCATTCAAAGGTCGTCCACAAATTATTTTCACCGTATTATTTTGCAGTTCACCACATATCCGATATTGATTATTACTGATTAACTATATATTGTCAATTACATAAACTTTCTTAATCTCTAAAGTAAGTAAGCTATTTATGAAAAGTTTTAATCGTTAATTTATATAACGAAAAGTTTAACACAATTATCTAAGGACTCTAGATGAAGCTATATACATATAAAAATAATACTCTTACCATTCCATTGTGATACACATACTGCTTTTACATAAACTGTTACCGGTACTGTAGAACTGTACGGTATTGGAAGATGACAATCGAATCCAGTTACATTGAATTCATATAACATATCTGTATGATTATTAAATCTTATTGAAGATCGGATAACACCTGAAATTTATTAATGAATGATAGAACAAATAAATTAGATTAATGAAGAAATTATTAATTACTGTTAGCAGTGACCAGTGGAGTTCAACCGAGTCTATTGCGAGATAGTAATTTACTGATAACAATGTTGGATGTGTCGCTCAATTTCGTAGATTGGTTGAAGTTAGACATTAACACCGTTGGATGCCAGTTGTCTCAGTGGTCTAGATGTTAAGCACTCACACGTGAAACTGATAGGTCCTGGGTTCAAACCTCACCGGGCGGGATCGTGTGTACGCCCTTCTAAGCAGTCCTACAATAGGACAAAACGGCCGTCCAGTGCTTCCACATCTTCCATGGTTGTCTAGCTTCAAATGACTTATGATCTCAACTATTAAAATTAACTTATTTATTAACAATAAAAAATTTCTAAATAATAAATGCAAACAATTTGATATCATCTGTGAAGAATCAGTGAGAATCAATAGTGACGAAGAGCTGTTTTGTTCTAATCTGGAACTTTTCAGAACTGTATAATAACAGATCCATATGGAATCAAACCTAGCATCTTCCGATCTGGTATATATACGATGACACTATCTGAACAATAGATTCAAAAAGGGCCCGATTTAATAAGCATGAACATGCATGATCTTCAGTGGGGTCTCATACTTGAGTGAAACAGTTGTCCATTACTTCCTCGTTTTCAGTAATTGTCTAACTAAGGCCAGTTTGTGAATTTAGCCGTAGAACTCAAAAATCTTAGAGAACCTCTTAAAAATATCAATATCAAATTTCTTAGTAGTATGATAATCAGTATATAGTTGAAAATTAGTCGCTTTTAGTCGATGTTATTCACCGACCGATCCCAAGAATATTAGTTACAATGAACTAAATTAATGATACACATAGTCAAGCATCGAATTCATGTATATGTATCAAATGTAAATACTTTAATTGACCGTGGAAGATATATATCCTGTTGTATCAGTACTGTTTTCTTCATTATTCACGAACAACTATGTATATACGGCATTTATGAGTACAATGTATTGGAACTCTGATTTCAGAGTGTACTTGATTCTGTTGAAGATAATCATCATGAATAAAAATTACAAAAGAACAAAGATTTCACGATCCCAAGGTCTTGATGGCAGTCAAAAACTTATATAGGGTAAGACATGAATATATGTTAAATCCTAAAGTTAGATAAACAATCAATGAAATTCTACCCAGAAACCAAATTATCCAAAATGAAGTGATGCGCTGTTTTGTCTTTGTAAATAAACGTTAGGAAGCAAACGCTTTAAAGCACTAATAAACACTCAAATTATAATAAACGGTAAATAACCTACTTATAGCATTATCTACAGAAATTCACGAAAACATTCAAAACTGCGTATTTTAAGATAGAGTACCTTATTTTTTTATGAAGAACGAACTAAACTCGTCCTCTATTAAATGACAACCATAATTAATCATCTTTATTTTTAAATAATCCTTACAAGTTAAGTGTTAACACATAACCTTTTCCAAATCATCTTTCAGCGTCCTCATCAAAATAAACTAATCAAATATATACTACTGTTTAACATTTTGAGTAGCTGGATATCGCATTTCTACAGAGAAAGTACTGTTTCAGCACTACAATATTGATATCATTACCTACATTTTCTATTTTTAAACACTTCATTGAACTTGATCCCTAAACCTTTTAAAAACCGATACTTCAGATTTAAACTTTTCACAGAATCTAAAGGTCAGTAGTGCAGTTACAAACTTCTTCATCGTTCTACAAAGTCTCAGGTAATGTGGCAAAATTAACGGTTTGTCACATCTGGTGAAAAGAGACCAAAACTACATCAACATCTTGAATTCATCAAACGTATCGTTTAGTTGATGAAGGGATTTGGAAGATAATCATTTGCAAGCGGCCTGTTTGAGCATCTGGGCTACCTGTTCCTGCCATCTAGATATTTCAACAAGTTATCTATTTTTGTTTGTTTTAATATATCATTATGTTTATTAATCGCATGACCTATTGTGCTGCGTTTCTGAAAAGTGTACAACCTTCCGTTGTCAAAGTTACAAAAAGCTCAAAAAGAGAGGATGTTGTTGGTGGCAATATACAACGAAAAAAATGTACATTATTCAGATGTTCATTTACTGGACTGTTAACATCTAGCTGGCGATCACTCAGTATTTATCGCGAGGACCGACCAAGAAGAAAGAAACGGAAACTTGTTGAAATACTTTACGCTGAGAATTCTATATTGTACCAATAATATAATATTGAATAAAGCTAATAATAATAATAATAAGAACTACCCATAAATACTCCTAAGACAGTTTAGTGGTAATTTATATTTCAAAACTGAAATGATAACCTATATATCTACACATAATTCATTTTATGTAATTTTTAAAAGATGATATCTTCAGATCTGTATTACTACACTGTTGTCTTTAGACCCACTGACCAATGTCACATGTCAAGTTGTTATCCGGAAAACTAACTTTACCTTGATCTGTTTCACGTCTAGTACGACAGTCTAGTATCCCCCAATTGACCAATTACTAACCTTGGGCCGATGCAGCTAAGTTCCTTTTGATTCGTTACTTGCAATCTCTTGAGTAAAAATCAGCCTCTACCATATTTATGCTTCAGACTGACGTGGTTTATATACAGAGCTACTGGACCACGTCATGGCATAAAATGAAACTAACAGTTATACATAAACAAGCCAAAAGTCGGTATGAATAGGGGGACTGTGATAAAGAGATTGAAAACAAGTTAGGAATATTAAATCATATGATAATAGTTTTAGGGTTAATCGAAAGCTCATGGTAAACGAAATACATAGAAATACAAATCTAGGTACTCAGTTACTATGCAACAAAATTATAGTTAAAAATAATATGAAAAAAACCGGTTCCAAATTCCGCTATAACAAACGTTATATACCATGAGCATTTACTGGAACAGCATCAATTTTGGAGATTTTTCTCTTAGTAAAAAAATTATGATTTATATACTTTTTTAAATAGATACAAAAACTAAGTTTGTGCAATAAACGTGCTGTAAAACTACGACAGTATACCATTTAAAATGAGTTCTCAGTACAAAACCAATGTTGAAATTCAACATAAGACAAGAATAAATGAAATATTCAAGATGTATAACAAAACAACGACCAAATATATTCAGGACATTTACTAAAACATACAACTGGGGCATATATTACGCTAAGTAACAGGCTAATAAGAGTACAAATAAGCCGAGTAACACGACGAAGAGTGGGTTACAATGGTGGAAATGTATTCAACCCTTATCATCTTTGAGATCTTAAATTTTAAAATTATCCTATACTATTTATATTCCATAAATTCATTATTTTCCCCTATGACTGATGACATCGTTATTTTTATTATTCTAGTATTTTTTTTGTAAGACTTTAATTTATGGACGACCTATGAGTGGCACTAAAATGACCTTGAGAGTGTTCACCTGATAACAAGGACAAAATTAGGGTTATAAACTAGTGTTAGGAATTAGAATTATGATTTACAGTTGATGGTAGGATTAGGAATTAGATTTAGGGTTTCATCACGAACTTACATTAGCTATAATGACAAGACGCTATTTAGCTAAATGGATGAGTGAATTTCGCGCCAAAATCCGAGACCTGTCAACTTACACCTGATTGGTTCGTCCACAAATTATAGTCTCGCTTTTCTTTTTAATAATAGTTACATCTCGTTATGCTCATATATTGTGACAGCTTAAAGTGATTTGTCAAATCCTATGATGCTTACGGTTGACTGACTATATTCAAGGTAGTAACACTCTAATCGCTTTACATAACCATTTACCATTTTTTCCTAAAAAAAAAATAGACGGCTAATAAGAGAGAAAGCAATCTAAAAATAAGTGAGAAGTATGATTTGTTGAATTTTAGCTCGATTTTATCGTGAATTTTCATTATAATTTTGATTAATATGGTTTACGTACATACCTATTGTTGCTAATTATTTTTCCATCACAAGTTATAGCTGAAAATAAACTGAAAATTTTAAAAATTGAATTCACGAGTCAATTGAAGCTAAACAACCATGGAAAACCTGGAAGTATTGGACGGCTGTTTCATCCTGGTATGGACTTGTCAGAAGTGAGCATCCACAACCGCTCCCCATGAGATTCGAACCCATGACCTATCAGTCTCGCGCGCGAACGCTTAACCTCTAGACCACTGAACTGGATTAGACTGTGTAGAAAATACCTCTAGTTTCCAAACTTAAATATTTTGCCAGCTATAAGTGTCATTATTACCAAGGTTTGATTTAATAATTGAGTATTGCATATTAATATTTATTCGTAGATATCTCTGATGTTTCGTGACTCAGTGTAAGCCACTTCTTCAGAGAATAAATAACCCAAATTTGTTTTTTCCAGTTGATTAAATAAAAAAAACAACTCAAAATAATAATTTGCAAAGTGAAGCGATGTGTTTGTTTATCGCTTTTGTTTTCAATACATTAACAAGATATGCATATAGAATAACATAATTGATATTATTAGTTCAAATCATTCATGTGTAATATTACGGTGGAGTGTATTGATAAATTTTATTCAATACACATTGAACTAAATAGTCATATACAATGTAAAACATGGATACAACAGTTCATTTTGATAGATTTTATTAGTAAAACGAGATGAAATTATCAGTACAAATCTTAGATTTTTAATTAAGATCATGAATCGATTGATGTTAGATCAACATTGAATATCTGGAAGCACTGGCCATTTCATCCTATTGTGGGACTCCTCAGAAGTGCGCATACATGATCCCGCTCGCGGGATTCGAACCCAAACCTTCAGGCTCGCACGCGAACGCTTAACCTCTTGACCACTCGAATAGCCGGCATCCAACAGTGTTAATGTCTAAATTCAACCAATCTTCCATTGTACTGAGGTAGATACCTGTCTCTACCCGACACGGATTACCTCCACTGGTCAC